CTGTCTTAGCTAGTTTTATGTGCAATCAATTCCTCAATGTAAGATATTAAAATTAGGTCACTTAAACTTTTTTGACAGTAATTGTAGTTTTCACGTAAGTTGTAGTACCTGCTGACGAAGGTCAATTTTTTCGAACCTATCATACATCTTTAATATTGATCTTCAAGATTTCTTTCTTTCCATTCTATTATCAAAAATTAGAGCTTTTAAATAAATTCATGTACACTTTTTTGAGAATATTAGTTTTGCAGTAATTTTGAGTTCTATCGTTTGCATCTTTTGGTAATGGGTGGAGCGTTAGCTCCGGCAAATGTGGCTCAGGGCATCAATTGATGTCACTGCAGTGAGGGAGATTCTAGGTTTCGAGTCCTGACTGTGGCAGGATTTTTCAACGCTACATTGTCAGCTAGGTTGAGTTTAGCTGTTGTCTGGAGGATAATTCTAGCGGTCGGCTGCTCTGATCCGCAGTTTTCCGTGATTTCTCCGATCAACACCAGGCGAATGCTGGAGCGATACCTCAACAAACGGGCCATGGACCGCGCGCGATATTTCCTTCCTCTTCTACGTTCTTTCCTCAGCCTTTACAGACACACACGCACACACACATGCACTACACAGCCACACTTGTCGTGAGACCAGTCAGGAACTTAGAGCTTATCCCGGTTGGAGCGATGTCTCTATGATGGGAGATGCCTGGTTGTAGAAAATCCCCGCAGGCCGACGTAGGTCGGCGCCGGATCTCGCCAGCCAGCGGGAGTAGATCCCCGCCACCTCCTACGATAAAACATGCACTACACTTAAGGGACCAATGACCTTAGCAGTGGACGCGCTCGGAATCACAAATCAACTAAACAGTGGAGCGTTATTGGAGAGAAGGTGAATAATAATAATAATAATAATAATAATAATAATAATAATAATAATAATAATAATACGTAACAGTTACCAAAAATAGTAGAAGTATGTGCTGTTGTAGCATCACTAGTTTCGTATGCTATTAATTAGTGGTTATTAATGGGTGTTATAGCTGGCCAGGTAGCGCAGGGATTGGGGGAAGATGTCCAATTTCACGATACACCAAACAAGCAGTATTTTGCAATTATCGAGTTAAGTGTGTGTTATTTTGTGTGTCTTGCATAGTTTTCTTATAATAATAATAATAATAATAATAATAATAATAATAATTATTATTATTATTATTATTATTATTATTATTAAATGATACATACATTATTTTAGCTATTTCTATCATTCGAACCGAGAATTCGATGATATAAAATTATCTACTGTTTTATTACATCTTCTGAATTACATTTAGAGATGTTGAAAAAAAAAATTAAGCGATAGACGAGTAGTTGGCGAATGTCCCTTCTGTAGATCGCATCCCATTCAATAGCATCGTCCGTCCGTTCCTTTTGTGACGCCGAGTGTTCCGTGGATACCCCTGGACGGCAACTGTTCCAGCAGCCGCTCTGCACTCATCACCGACTCATTAAACAAGCCTTGTAATTCACGGCGGTTAAGCAAGCGCTCGGCGGCCAGCGGGTTGATAAAGCGGGCAGTGGCCACCAGTGACCACTGCAGCGCTGCGGGCCGGCGCGGCGCTGCCCGACTCGCGGCGGCCGCACGTGGTTCGCGCGCTCACTCGCACAGAGTCGCGCCTAGCGAGACGACCAAAGAGTATATAGACGGAGTATATAGTATGGAGACGACCGGACTCATCCTCCCCGCCACGACCCTTGGCATCCGTCTGGGCTCTCCTCCGCGTCCCACCGCCACCTGTTGCCGTTGCCAATCGGAATGCGCGCGCGTAAGCACGCGCGAGAACAGCGCTGACAGCCCCGGACTCTTCGCGTTTCGCGGAGATAAGCATCAGCGTGCCATCTTCGTCATCTCTTCCATCGTATTATTTTCTATTCTTTGCTAGACAGCTAGGAGGAATTCAGTCGCTGTCTGGAGGAGAATTATAGCGGCCTGCTTCTCTGATCGGTAGTTTTGCGTTGTTTCTCCAAACAATACCAGGCGAATATCAGTGCAGTATCATTACAAACGGGCCACGGACTGCGCGCGATCTTTCCTTCCTTTTCCTTGTCCTATCTTACCCCTTACTTACACGCACATTTACACGTGCTACACTACCACACATGCCGGGAGACCGGTCGGGAGTTTAGAGGCTGGGGCGGTGTCCCGCTGGTTGAAGATACCTGGTTGGTGGAAACCCCATTTGCCGACGGTAGGTCGGCGCGGGATCCAACGGGGGAAGATCACTGCCAACTCTCGAGCAAAGCACATGCACTAACTTACGGGACTAATTATCTTAGCCATTTATGCGCTAGGAATTACTAATCAATCAATAAATCAATATTCTTTGTTATTTCTATTCTTCTACTTTCTTCTCATTTTACATTCCTTCTTTTTCTGCCATCCCTTCTGCTTCGGCGACTTGTCTTAACCCTCTTGCTGCAGTTCTTTCGTCTTCGTCGTCTTCCTCTTTATTTTGTCACCAAGATCTTTCCTGTCCCTTTCTGCCATATTCTTACACTTTTGTCTCCTCTTCTTCCCCCTTTCTTTTTACTTTCCCGTATACATAAATAGGAAGTAATATACGTGATATAGGGAAAATTATGTAATGCTGGGGAAAATCTATTACCAGATTTCAACGGAAATACACGTCGTGGGGTCCCCTGTTACACAAAAAGTTTCTTTTCTTTTCGTTTCAAAACGTCCGTCCGTCCGTTTGTGGACACCACTAGCTTCTAAACCATACGTAGGATTGTTTCCAAAAAGGGAATAAATCTAGCTCGACTCGTGGCCCTGCGATTTTAAGCATTTTTTTTAAAAATTTCAGAGTACTTATGGAAAGCCCCCTCCCCCGGACATTTTCAAAGTTTTTTCAAAAACGGCTCCAAACTTTTTCCTTAAATTTCTTGTATATGTAGAATAAAATACACTTATAAAGGTAGTATTAGTCCCATTTCCACAATGAACTGAATTTTCGAAAATTGCAAAAGTTTGAGTTTGTTCGGCTTCTTCCTACAACTACAAATTTGAAGATGGATTTTCCTTCAAACAAAGTTTGTTTTTCATAGTCAGTTCTTTCATTATAATTCTGCGCTTTTTTCCCTTCAATTTTGGTAGTTTTCGCGTAATATTGTGAGTAATATGTACAATTTAAAAAAATACAAAAGCTAGATTTTCTCAAAAAATCTCACATTTTTTCTTCAAATGAGTACATGTGCTTTAAGTAATGTCAAACAAAGTTCCTTGAAAACTCAACCGTTTTCTGTGAAAACTAGCTCAAAATTCCACTATTTCAGAATCGCTCAACTCCATTTTCTCAAAAACGGCTCCAAATTATTTTTCTTCAAACTTGTCGTACGGATAGTGCTAGTTGCACGACGTACAATTTATTATAGGATTTTTTTTCAAAAACTACTCGAATGTATTTTTTAAGATATCTCGCGCCGTTAATATACACATTTCCAGCAATTTTTAAGCACAACTATAGTTGTGAGTTAGTGTTTCAAATTACTTCTTACAATTTTTTTTCGAAAACTCGAAAATTTTCTGTGAAAAAGCTTCAAATTTCGAATTATCAGTAGCTTAAGCTTAAGCGCCACTAAAAAAAAGCTCCAAATGTTTCAAAGACAATTGTCATTTAGGACGTCATTTTAGAACGTGTAAAATAATATTTCCGCTCTACTATTAGGAAACCGAAAAATTAAGAAAAGTTTTTAAAAAATGTACTTTGGGCGGCGGGAGATGGGAGTTGGCAAGAGTATGTTGCAAGTTCGTATAGCTAGCCAAGACCAAACGAAATAGAAAACTAATACGGGAAAGTCTGTGCAATTCTGTTGCATCACTATATTTTCTTTCTCGCAGTCTGTTTACGAGGTATAGAGGAACTAGTGTATTTCTGTGGCAAAAAATCGGCGATATTTTCGGTACTGGAAAGGTGGATACATTTTGTTCCAGTATGTAGTACATTACTTCCTCTAACACGTGCAGAATCCACATTTTGTGATGGGTCCTTGATTCCGTAAAATTGTTTAACGGCAAAACTTCTGTCTGTTTGTTCGTTTATGGACAACGCTAGCGGCTAAACCATAAGAAGGATTTTCATCAAAATTTGAAATTCCACGATCGATTTGTATGATGTCGCGGCCCCTTGAGTATAGAAACAGATATTTTAATTTTCGGGAGGTACTTTACATAAATCCTAACATTTTCAAATTTTTTTCAAAAAATCCCTTTACAATTTTTTATTAATACCCCCCCCCCTCGAGCAGCGTAAAAGGCACTTAAAAATAGGCAGATACCGCATTTTTGTTGAACTCTGAAATTTTTCAAAAGTTCAATTTTTTTTTTTCGGTCTTTTCCGACAACTATAATATTTATCACTGTAGAGATTTTTATCTTCATGAAATCACTTCATCACATAATACAGCTCTTGTTATAAGGTAACAACTTTTCCAAAATATGAGTAGTTTTTATGTAATTTTGCATGAAATATAGGCATTTCTTAAACAATTCTTTTCTCAAAAATCTCCAGGAAATAAATCTGGCTTTTTCCCCTCAAATATAAGACATTTGATTTTGAATTAGTAAATAAAATAAATAAATGTGTTTGCATCCCGAAAGTCTTTCCTGAGTCAACCTGGGTGTTTTGTATTTAACAAACTGAAGAAAACTACACAAAGATAATTTTGAACAGTATGTGTACAAATGTTTTCTCAGTGAGTGTTGCATTATGTAAATTAATTCTGAACAACATAATTTATGAATTTATATGAAAAATATAGAAAATATCAAAAGAAGAATTTTTTATGATATCCATTTCACACAAAAAGTTATCTTGCTAAAGGACTTGGTATTAACTTCTGTGTGAAAGGACATCATAAATAATCCATTTCATATTTTCTTTAATTGTTTGTCTATCTAAATAAGTTTCTAATTATTTTCTTTATAATTAATTTTCTTCTATTTTCATTTTGTTTTAGGAATTTCATGTGGCATATGTTTTTATAAAGATGGCCAATTCTCCTCGTCCTGGTGTTTGGGTACTTGAAAGATCACTAGACAATGGCACAACATATCAACCCTGGCAGTATTTTGCTGACACTGAAGGGTAAGTACCTGAAAAGGTAAATTAGGTAAATTATTAAATTATAATTGATGTTTTTTATAAACAATTGCTTTTCAGAGATTGTGAAGCATATTTTGGCCGTGAAAGTTTGCAGCCAATTACAAGAGATGATTCTGTTAAATGTGAAACTCAGTATTCAAAAGTAGTGCCTTTAGAAGGTGGTGAGGTAATTAATTACTAATTAATATATTTTAATTTATTGGGCTGTATTGTATTGATTTTGTTTATTGTTGAAATTAATTTTATTCATATGATTTTAGATTGTTGTGTCTCTACTCAACAACAGGCCTTCTGCAAATGATTTCTTTAATTCCACTGTTCTTCAAGAATGGACTCGTGCTACAAATATACAACTTAGATTTTTGCGAACAAAGACACTCCTTGGTCATTTAATGTCAGTGGCTCGTCAGGATCCTACTGTTACTAGACGGGTAGAGTAAGCTCAAATTTACAAATAGTATTTAATCATGTTAATTTCATTTTTCAATATAATAATTTTCCAAAAATAATATTTCTAGTACTTTTACTCCATCAAAGACATCAGCATTGGTGGTCGCTGTGTATGCAATGGACATGCTGACACATGCGACATTACTAATCTTAATGATCCATATAAACTAGTATGTCAATGCCAACATCACACATGTGGAGACAACTGTGATTCATGTTGTCCAGGCTATGAACAGAAAGCATGGCGTCAATCAAAAGCATATCATCCGTTTGTTTGTGAACGTGAGTGAAATGTTTTGCATTCCTTATGTCATGTGTTCAAGTTGAAGTTAGTGACTGTAAAATTATTTATTGAATCACATGTACATATTAATGGTAACAGAATGAATTCAAATATCTTCACTTTTTCTAGCTTGCAATTGCTTTGGACACTCGTCAGAATGTGTTTATGATGAGGAAGTTGACAGGCAGAGATTATCTTTGGACATACATGGACGTTATGAAGGAGGAGGAGTATGCAAAAATTGCAGGCATAATACTGAGGGTATAAATTGTAATAAGTGTAAACCTGGCTATTTCCGACCATACGGTAAATTGTGGAATGATACTGATGTTTGCAAAGGTAAGCATTTAATATTTCTATCATCATGATCTGAAGTACCCTTAGAGGCGGTTCTGTATTTGGTTCAAAAGTTCATGAAACACCCAATAAATTGGAAAAAAACAAAACAAAAAAACAACAACATAATTTGTTACTATAACCTTGATCATAGTGCAATCTGCATCTGCTCTACTTTTAAATTTTTAGTATTATATTGGTGAACCAATGTGGTAGAATTGCTGCTCACACTTTCGAAGCAACACCTTACTCTATAAGGGCTTATAAGGCTGGCTCAATAAGGTCTCTATTGTGTACCTTGTGACTTCTCTCCTGTGTCTTCATCTATGAGCTTATAGTTAATTACATTGACACTTACCCAGCAAACTTCACATCAAGACAGAACTTCCACTATTTAAATTTATTTATTTAATGTTTTTCTTTCAATTTATTTATTTAATGTTCTCCCAGTATGTATCGAAGGATGATAACAAAGTGGTGAGTCATTTCTGGAGAACTCTATATTTTTAAAAATTGCAGAAATTTAATATTCTAAATTAAGATTATTATTTTATTTTCTGTCTATGATCTTTTCAAATCAGTCAGACTGTATTTAGTCCTTATTTTAAAGACAGATCTATTAAATAAAAAACCTGAAACTAAGAACATGATAAGTTTGTGTGCATGGCCCTTTAGAGTAGGAGGCTCCCACCCATTGCATGGGCTGCACCACTGGTAGTTCCGCCACTGAATGACATGAAGTGCATCTCTCCAATAAGAAAATGAGTGTAAGTCCAGAGTGTGTTTGTTACTAGCCGAGAGGAGGCAAATGAATCCTCCATCCCCCGTTTAAGTTGTAGTTTGTATTTTAAAAAAATGAAAAAATACCTACTTTAAGGAAAGCATTCTTTGTTTCATAGCATTTAGCATAATTTGACTTAATGTATGCTTCATGAAAATAATGAACATTGATTTAGTGACCACCTCTAAAGATGATTTTTCGCTGGAACTATTAGTGTTGATTGATTGTTGATTCTCACGTCCAGTTGTTTAATCACACAAAGTTTCTTATTTATTCTTGACTAAAAAGGAAAAATTGAGAAGGATTGAAGCCCTTAAAGCATCTTTACATATTACATGCGTTTTTAACTTGTCACATATTACATACATAGTACATATTTTATTTGTTTTGTAAATTATTGATCTCAAAATGAAGGTTGAAAACACAATTGGCCAACCTGGATGGCCAAGGAGGCTAAGAGCATGTACCGACAGCCCTTCAGTCTGAATGGTCGCGGGTTTGAGTCCTGCTTTGAGATGGTTGTTTGTCCCTTGCTTCTCATGTATGTGATCTTGCAGAAGGCCTCGCACGTTGCTTGGTCAGATCAGAGCCCGCAAGTAGGTTATTGTCTAGTGTGTGGTCGAAAATGCGTCTCATCAAGATGTAATCGCTAACTGGCTGTCAGCTGGAAAAGCTCTAGAAAAAAAGAAGAAAGAAACACACACACACAATTGACTGATGTTTCAATCAACCAATGAAAGATGTCAAATCAAAAGTCAACCGAACTTGATAGAGCGACAAGAGCAACAACTGTTGCTACTACAGTCTAACCGTTATGATAAGGGCTAGATAGCTGTGTCAAATTCAGCCACTAACTGAAGGAAAATTCTGGTGGCAGCTGCTCTGATCAGTAAGTCTTCAATCAATACCAGGAGAACGCTGAATCAGAACAAGTGGGCCACAGACCACGCACGTTGTTTCCTTCCTCATCTTTGTCCGTCCTCTCTCTACAAGCACATATGTACACGTACGTGCACTACACTACCAAACCTGTCCTAGTGGTTAACGCAGCAGTTAGAGTCTGTCCCGACTGAGGCAGTTCACCACTGGGAGAGATACCTGGAGAAACCTTACAAACCGTTATGTAGGCCGGAGCAGGATTGAACATTCCAGCCGGGTAGAAGCACTTCAGCTATAACAGGCACTACACCTACAGGGCTAATAACCATAGCCAACACACCATAAACACACCTGGAAACACCAAATTATCAATCTTAATTGAGATCTTGATAAATTGAAACTTAGTTAATCGGGATTCCATTGTATATGATTTTGAAAAAATCACATCTGCAAGGTCTATGAGCCTAGCAGAGGCAGAGTTTCTGTAAGGATAAACAACAAGTACAAAGAATGTAACTTCTGTATGTTCTGCAATAAAGTTTTAATTGAAGTGTTCCTTGTGTTATTTTAAAAGTATCACATAAAATGAATTGTTGCATGGTTATGAATGAAAAATTTCTTAGTTGGATATAATGTATTCAAATGTACAAATTCATAATTGAATTAAGAATTTCCTCATAATATATGATGTAATCTGTTGATCTATAAATCCTTTGTAATAGAATGATAATTAATAGTATTTGTAAAAACTACTTTCAAATTTACTACAAAAAAACTTTAAAAAGCCAAAATTAAAAATTGTCCTACACAAAATACCCTCTTTTTTGAGAAAACATAATTCCAAATATTTAAGATGAAAGTTGTGAAGACACTTGGAGAACAACATTAGTTCACAAAAAAAACTTTTTTCATCATTTTGTGATCTTGACCATTTACTTAGTAATTATATTTGTTTCTGTAATATTGATTTTAATTTTTTTGTTTCACAGAATGTGATTGTGACTATTATTATTCAACTGGCAACTGTGAAGAAGAAACTGGTCAATGTGAATGTCGGCCAGAATACAACCCACCTCTTTGTGACAGTTGCAGTTTTGGATATTTTGGTTACCCTGAGTGTAGGCAGTGTGAATGCCATTTAAATGGAACTCGTAGTTTTGTTTGTGAACCAACAGATGGAGTTTGCCCTTGTAAATCTAATTATGCCGGAAAATATTGTAATGAATGTGAAAAAGGATATTATAATTTCCCTGAATGTTTGGGTAAGTTGTACATTGCCTTTCAGCTTATATCATTATAAAAAGTTTTCCATTTTTCTACATTATTAAAAAGAAATTTTACCAAGGTAATGGAGGCAAATTGTGACACACTGAAAGCATTCAAATTGAATTCGGATTTTTCATCTTTTCTCACCTTCATATTTCATCTGTGTTTTTAATCTTTATTATATGAAACGAATGTGGTACAGAAAGTGGACCTCGCAATCAAGTACATCCTTGTCACAATGTTATGGGACCTCAAAAGGCTCTATTCCTCCCTTGTTAATTTGACAAATTTCACTTTTCCTATTCTCAAAATCTATTCATAACAACCACATTAAAAAATTGAGGTGAAACTTTACATCTATGATCACATTTGAACACAATTCAAAAATAATTTTTGGTCTTTTAGGAGGGAAAAAAATTGCTGGTATTTTTTGCACATTTTCTTCACCTGTACAAGTTATTAAAAACCCAAGATTTAAAATATAGAGAAGGGTACATTTGAAGATCTGTAAAAATTTAATTGAATTCTGTTCAGTAGATTTGAAAAAAAAGAAAAATATATAATTTCAAAAGAAAACTGATGGAAATCAACCAAAGTTTCTAGTGCATTTGAGCACAGTAACTTGGTCATTAGAGTCTTTTTCTGAAATTCTTCAATCTTCCTTCTTACGTTTATTCTTCTTTCACATGCCTTTGCTTCAATTTCTTCATTATTTGAAGCTCTCAGTCTCTCTTTATCAAACATTTTGTTCCAGAACTACTAACCTTCATGAAATTTTCTTCACTGCTTGGTGAAGATGGAGTTGTAGTTAACAATTGAGTTCTTCCTCTTCTTAAAAACATGTAAAGTGCTTTTAACTGTATTGTAAAGGGAGATAGATCACTAAATAAAATTAAATCACATCTTTAAACTATGATTTAACTACACTTTTCATTTCAAAAGAGAAACAAATGCCCACTAAGTGCAGAACAACATAATGAAAACAAACACAGAAGCACAGTTTACTTATTGACATTGGACAGATAAATTAAGATCGTAAAAGTCTCACAAACTTCAGAATTTAACATTTGGAATTCTACCATGGTAATTCAAAGTAAACAAAACAAATTGCACGTTGACATAGACATCATCGCTGCCAGTTGACTGAAGATGGCCATGTTCCCTCTTTTCAAAAGTAATTTTGAACACTTCACAAGCTGGAAAGGTCCATAAATTATGTATCTAATTAAAGGAGAGATGTTAAATATTAATATGCAACCAAAAAATGAAAAAATGAAAATTTAATAACTCTTTGGCCTTCTGGAGCCCCGTAACATCATTGAAGTTACATGAAGATTTTGCTGATAGATCCAGTGATAGTTATTGACAGGGCTTCGATTTCTTTAGAATTACTAGTACCTAAAAATGTACCTACATATGAAATAAAAATGTTCAAAAATGGAGTAAAAACGATCTAAAAATTCAATAAAAAGATCAAAATACAGAAAATAATCAAGTAAGCAGTAATTAAATGTTTAAGAAGTTTGAATAGAATGGCCAAACATCTTAGCTTTAATGTTAACCATAGCACAAAATTTAATAATTTCTTGTACAAACATAAAATGAAAAAGTTTGTGTTGTTGAGGACTAGTTCCTTAATTCTTTTTGGACAATTGACTATTTACAAAGCAGTGAGTTACGAAACATTATTTGAAATGTTCAAATGTGAAATTATAATTTTTCTCAATATTGTTTTGTGCTGGATAAAGTACATTTAGATTAATGGGGACAATCTTGACCCCATTACATCTTGTGGAGTGAAATAATTAAAGATGTTGTCATTGCCGACAATATTTTTTAATTCAATAGCAGCTTTCGATGGCTTAGCCATCATCAGATGAGATGATGGCTAAGCCATCAAAAGCTGCTATTGAATTAAAAAAAAATATTGTTGGCAATGACAACATCTTTAATTATTTTAAAAATGCCAAAGATATCTTACCACAACACCTATATTGTGGAGTGAAATCCACATCTAATACTAAATCCAATTCACCATTAAAATTGAACTAAAAGTTACAAATAATTTTTCCTATATCAGTTTGAGATAATTCAGAACATTTTACAACTAATATGTTAACTTCAATTTTAACTAAAGAAGAAACAAATATGTAATTACATGCAAATCCTAGCCCTCGCTACTATTTTATTTTGCTAAGGAATGACTTCATGGATCAGATAATGATTATTTCAGCCATTAAATATTTTTATTTTCACATTTCTTCACAAAGTGAAATAATGCCATTGAAGGCCTGCAGTCAGGAACATGTTTCAAAGTTTTTCTAAAAAACAGAAATTTTTTAAGACAATTGTTTTGTAAAACATGAAATTTTCTATTTGTTATTAGCATTAAGCTTTAAGTGCAAAGCTAGGAACTACTATGTGTTGTTTTCAATTACAGATTGTGATTGTAATCTACAAGGATCAACATCAGATGTCTGTGATGTAGAAAGTGGTCAGTGTTCATGTAAAAATAATTATGGAGGAAGAACATGTGATCAGTGCCAAGATGGATATGCCATTTATCCACATTGTTATTGTAAGTAAGGAAAAAGTAAATGTTAATAACATTGGTAACTGTTCTATTTTCAAATAATGTATTCTAAATTTTCTATTTTTTCCTGCGTACCTTTTTATATGCAGAATGTCCCTGCAAAGCCTATATTATTTTTATTGTATTTCTTTTTAAAATTGTTGCAGAAATTTAAGTTTTAAATTCAACAATGTATGACTAGTATTTTGAAAATAAAATGTGAGTTGTGAGAACACTAAATGCAAAAGAAGGGGGTAATTTAAAATGCTTTTGACATTAGGAGGAAGCAACAAAACAGTTGGGGAAACTGGAAATAACAGATCGCCTGTGTGAAGTGATTACCCCTGTTTATGTCGAAACTCTCATTTGAGAGGACATTTTATTGATATTTCGTATAAATCTTTAGATTATTATATCACACATTGAGTGTGGCAAGATTATGTTATCACAAATAATATTTATAAAATCAAAAATGTTCACTGTAGTGACATGTGCAACTCATTTCCATGAATTCTTGCTGTTAACCCTTCAGGAAGCTTAATGTTGTTAATTTTACAACAGCAAGCTTATTTTTTCTCTAGCAAAGACCTGGACGAGCTGGCAACATGATTCTGACATGTAATTCTTCATCTGACTCTTCCCCACCACTGCCACTTGTTCAAACTGATTGTTGAACAGATTGTTAGTGGCAATGCAAATTGAAATGAGTGTGCATGCATTGTGTTGTCCTATTTATAACATGCTCCTCCTTACATAGAGTTTAATTTTTGTTGCAATAAAAACACAATTATATTCTACAAGAAGTTCTCTAAGACTAAAAATAAGAATCAGTTGTATAAGAACAATAAAAAAATATGTTAAAACATTAAATAAATATGTGTTGTTAAAAGTTCAACACGTGACTGCTCACAATAACATGGTATTATTTCCACCATGCAGTAATCAATGAATCATTGTCAATTGGGAGCAAATTTGTTGCTTTGTGACTGGGATAAATAAGGCCATTTAATTTCTATAGCTGGCAGGCAGAGACATATTTTTGCCTCATCACAGAAGGAACCTACAGGAAACAATAGAAATTTTAGAGATTAAAACATATACAAACTCTTCTATTGTCATTTGAACATAGAAAAGGTACTAGCAGAAAAATTGTATGATAAAATTTTTTTTGGATTGAACTTTGTCCTCGAATCACGTAAAGAATGCTTAAAAGAATGGTGTTTGTCTCATTTTTGTTGCAATCCCTGGGTTGTGAAAAAATTTCAAAAGTATACAATTTTTTTGGTGACTTCCTACAACTACAATACTGAAGATCTTTTCTCAATAAAAGCTGTTGTTCAAAGAGATCTTGAAATAATTTTATGCATAATGTTTTCAAAATATGAGTAGTTTTTGCATAATGTTGCATAAAATGTAGGCATTTTCTAAACAATTATTTTCTCAAAAACTGCTTCAATTTTTTTCTTTAAATGTTCTCCTCATATGTATAGAAAGGTGGTAAAGAAAGTAGTGCTGTTTTCATTTTTGTTTAACTTCAAATTTTTGAAAATTGCAAAGAATTGCAGAAAGTTAACATTTCAAAACCATAATATTGAAGATAGATAAATTTGTCTGAAACAAAATCTGTGGTAAAAATTAGATCTTTAAAAATAGACATGTATATTTTTTTTAAAATAACAACTAGTTTTCACTCAATTTGTGCTTGAAGTAAATGCAAATTTTAAAAAAGCGTTTTCTCAAAAAAAATTTCATTAAATTTTACCTTCCAGATTCATTTTAAAACTTGCATGATTTGGTAAACTTTTGTATTTTGTGTACGTTGTTAATTAAATGTGTTGTATTTTGCTTATTCTATTTAATTAGATATTAATATTTAATATTAATAATATTTTATAATTAATTCTTATAATCAAATAGGAATTCAACTAGTTTTTCACTGATCAAAACACGTACTTTACTTAAAAATCTATTAGAAATTGAGAATCCATCAAATGACTGCTTTGTTCTGATAGGATGGCCTCTTTAGGGTGGGTGATATCTCAATGTTTTCACCTCTCAAAGCTTTCTTGTATTCCAGTTTGTCCTAGGATGCAAAACATGGATCTTATAGATCCCAGTGGCTAATAAATCAGAAATAAATTGATAATTTACAATATTACATGGTTCATCCTTTATGTACTTGCACGTCAAACTAGATTCGAAGATGCTTGATTACAGAAGAGAATTTTATTTACCATTCACAAGATTGATCATTGTTACTTAATAATTTTGCATCAGTTATAGTTTTCATTACGATGCATCATGATGCAATTGTAGGTGACCAGCATGAAAAAAAGAAATCAGAAGTATATATTATCATATACAGACACATTTTTGGCTGTATTCTATCATTGGTGATCATTGTTTCTTGCTCAGCTCTACTCTCTCAGTGGAGCCTATATTTTTATCTAAACACTAAAAAATTATTATTAGGAATTTCAATCCTTAAATCTTCGTAAAAATTATGGAAACCAACTGACCAACCAACATATCAACTTTGTTTCCCTAACACAATTCTTATTCCTTTGTCTTAATGTTGTGACATTAATTTTCTAGATTGCAGCTGTGATGTTCGTGGCACTTTACCTGGAATATGCGACAAAGACACTCAGAAATGCCTCTGTAAGGAAGGTTATGGAGGTGATAGATGTGATAGGTGTGTCCCGGGTTATTATGGATATCCTGACTGTAAACCCTGCAATTGCAGTGAAGCGAGCAGTGGATCAAAAAGTTGTGATGCTTCTGGGAAATGTTCATGCCTTCCAAACTTTTCGGGAAGAACATGTAATCAATGTAGTCCTGGGCATTATCAGTACCCTGAGTGTTTGCGTAAGTCTGTAGATATACAACTAGTTAATAATGTATTACATACGTTTATGAGTGTTAAGTAGCATATTTTTTACGTTTACCCTGTTTACAGCATGCCACTGTGATCTGTATGGTTCCATTGGTGTTTCATGCGATAATGATGGTATTTGCTTATGTAAAGACAACTTTGATGGAATTCAATGTGAACAATGTAAGGAAGGATTTTACAACTTTCCTGCATGTGAAGGTATGTACCCAGTTTATTTAGGCATATATATGTACCAAGACAAAACCTTGTAAATATGCTACAACTGAATAGGAAAATACCTCCAAGGTATATCAAAACTACTTAAGAAAGAAAATTGAGAATTTTATTGATTATGGTGTAAAGAAATGAGCAAGCCCACACATAATTCCAAACACGTTATGATACAAGACATATTACTATCATTCATAACTGAAATAGTGCATCCCAATTTTTGTGTCTCGTGTTGAGCCACAAGTTATGTTTCTTAGGACATAATCTGCAAGTATACCTGTACTTATTGTGGAAGATATTGCAACTTACTTCAATTTACTTGAAGTATCAGTAAAAATTGAATTCAGTGAATTGGAACAAATACACTCATGTCATATATTAACATGCTCTACTTCACAACCTTTATTTGTTTTTTATCTTCCCTGACAAAGTGGTAACTAAACAAAGGAATGCAACACCACTGCTATGTTTGTAGCAGCTAAAAATACTCTTCATTGACAATGATCTGAAATAACGTATGAATTTCTTATTAATTGCATTGTCGTATACATATACAATACATCCTGTATTACATTTTCTTTTTCTTCTAGAATGCAATTGTGATCCTGCTGGAGTTTTGGATACTTTTGAAGGCTGTGGATCTGTCCCTGCTGGTGAACTATGTCAATGCAAAGATAGAGTTCAAGGAAGAATTTGTAATGAATGCAAACCATTATTTTGGAATCTTCAACCAAATAATCCTGATGGCTGTGAGGGTAAGATTTCCAGCTTCACATAATTTGTACTTCATGTTCAATTTGTGGATTAATGAAATGTTATGTTTAAATTTGATAATTTGAAAATCGTACATTTCAATTAATGTTCTTTAACCCAATACCTACTAGCCCTTGAGAAAATAAAGGTAAGTTGTTGATTTTCCAGAAAAGTTTTTTTGAACCCTGTGAATAATAATTCATTAATTAAAACATTTTACTTCATATAAGGAACTTATAACTGAATGGTGTGCACATGCACCACTGTCCAGGAGAGGTGTACACAACTGCCATAAGGGAAGGGCTGTGAGTTGGCCTCAGAGCAATGCTTGTACCAAGACATTGTCATGTAGAATGTCCAATGAAAGACAAACAAATTTACAAATATCTAATTTGTTGCATATGAATTGACGCAACACTTCTCCAAGCCCCTTGGGGGATGTTGAGCACTTTGGGCTTGGTAGTAATCCTCCTTTAATCAATGCACTTGGGAGTAGTCCTCTATTACATCTGTAAGTCAATATATGTCATGTCTTGTCACAGTCAGTTGTCAAGAGGACCGCCAGGAAGCATCTCCGCGTACGTGCCTCCTTCTACTACATGCACCTGCGTCATTACCCAGCGGTCAGAATTGGGAAGGAATTGGGATAGGGTAGGGTTTAGGACACTTGACAGGAGTTGAACTAGGTCTAGTGAAGCATCCAAACTCGTTTTGTTGGAATAAATTTCACATAAGATTGTCTGGGAATCGAACCCAGACCTCCTTGGTGAAAGACGAGTGACTTCGCTCTGAGCCACCTAGCCAGCCTTTTCTTATAAATTTTTTTAAAGTTTAAATGAAAATTGAGCTATATTGCAGGGTCAATAAATCACTTCAATATTACTCAGACAGTAGTAAAAAATACACTTTAAAAGAACAATAGAAACAAAGAAACAAGAAATTCATATTAAAAAAATGTCTCAGAAAAAATATTTTCTTTGGAGCTTTCAAGTACCATTCACGGTTAATAGGTTAAATAATTTCTCTTGCAGAATGTGATTGTCATGTTCCTGGTGTTGTTGGAGGAATGGGAATATGTGACACCAAAACAGGACAGTGTATTTGCAAACCATCAGTAACAGCTAGACGATGTGATTCATGCAGTGATGGAACATTCAATCTTCAAGAACAACACCTTTTCGGTTGCTCAGGTAAATTATTGTAATACCAATTGTCAAATTCACATTTTGAGAAAAAACATATACTCACATAATCACGTTAAGAATATAATAACATAGCACATCAATAATTTCAGACTGCAGTTGTGATATTGGCGGTGCTGTGAATAGTATCTGTGATAAACAGACTGGTCAGTGTGCATGCCGACCCCGAATTACAGGACGAACATGCAAAGAACCATTGCAGACTCATTATTTTCCTACATTGCATCACCATCAGTATGAAGCTGAAGATGGCCGTACTCCATCATATTCACCTGTTCGTTATGCTTATGATGAAGAGAAATTCAGAGGATATTCTTGGAGAGGTTATGCAGTGTTTTCACAACTTCAGGTAGCAAAAACTTTCCAATACAAATTGCATTAAAAATTTGTCATTGAAATTGACTTTTTAGTATATTTACAAGTATATAGTTCAGAAAAATTTTCAGCATGGTGGCATAGGTCATTAAGGCAACATTTATGCAGTATTTGTTTGTCTCATCATGGTACCGAATCATGTATGTTTCGCAGATTAATGTTAGTCTAGAGTCTGTATACGTATCTTCTATCCTTTATTCTATCTACTTCTAGAATGAAATATACTTTGTTTAAGATGAAGTTTTTGAAAGTTTAATCATAAACTGTGTACTTTTCTTTCTTTAAGTAATTTTAAGAAAATTATTAATAGTATTATTATCATGTTTTAGTTTGAATTGTGTTACTTTAATTCATTTTTGTTAATTGTAATCCATTGCTCTAAAGCTTCAATAACTATTAAAATAATTTTTTTAAATTTACTGAGCACATTGTGCTAATAAAATTAAAATAAGTATGTGAGAGTCTTTAACAAATGTTACCACCAATGTCATAAAAAATATTTTACTAGATGAGGCTAAACAACTATCGTGTTTATAACTTAATCAAAATATTCTAGCAAGTTTATTTATAACTATTCAATTAAAATCTGGTTATTCTGCATTGTATATTCAATAGAATAATTTCTTCACTTTAACAAGTTTATCTTGGGAAATTTCCAAGAACATTCAGTATTCGCATATTCACAGCATGGATTTTTTATGGAGAGAACAAGAAATGAATACAATATGTATATTTAATTTATGAAAAGTAATCAATACAATATACATAAAATAATTAATTTGTTACAGGATGAAATAGTTCATGAGGTTTACATACAAAGGCCTTCTTTGTATCAAATCATTCTTCGTTACATTAATCCAAATGAAGAAATTATTCAAGGCGATATTACAATTACGCCTGACAACCCAAATGAGATAGAACAGACAGCAAAAGTACTTTTCAAACCCAATAGAAATGCAAGCTTTGTCACAGCTGTTGCTGATGATGGAACTACTCCTGCTGCTCTTGTAATGAACCCTGGTCAATGGTCCATAAGTATTAAAAATAAAAAGAGTCTCTTCTTGGTGAGTTGCCTGTATTTATTCTTAAAGGTTTTGATCATGGTCACAATAAAATTACAGATTTAATAATTTTTCATTCACAACAGTGAAATAGTCAAATACTGTAATGGCCATGGGAATTGTGATAATTAGAAAAATGTCAGTTATCTGTACAACATTGTGTTACATAATCATTGTAATGCTGATGGCAAAAAAAAAAAAAAAAAAAAAAAAAAGAGTTTTCTTTAGGGGTAAAATTTGCTCATGAAATGATTGGTAGCAGATAAAGAGTCACAGTGAACAACTATTGTCCGAATAATATTACTGTCTACGTGACAGCTGAGGTGAGGGAAGAGCGATGTTGCCACTTACTTGTGCGGCAGACATGTGGTCATGTGGTTGTTTTTGCATCAAATCACAGTAGTAGCAAGAAAAAAATTGCAATAAGAACACAACCACACACAATGCATAACCAAAGAAGTAATATCCCTATCCAATTTACAGTTACTTCATGCTGCTAGATTTTTTTCTCTTCCTAATAAGTATTGGCAACTCTGCTGTGACATCAGCAGAATTCTCTGATCGAATAACGGAATTCCCTCTCTCCATTCGGCCACTAGCTGTCAAGTAGACATATTATTCGAACAATAATACTATATAACTGTCATTTCACTTTGAAACTTCCTCCTTAAAATTGTTATGAATTCTGAATTATATTATTAAATTAATTATATTATATTAGGAAAACTCAATTATATTATTAAACAATAGTAAACTTTTCTTCAACATTTTGCCGAGCAATAAAAAATTATGTTCTCGCAACCAAGTATTTATGTTATATAATGTTGGAAAACAAACACCAAACCTCTTGAACATAATTTTCATTGGACAAATAATACAGTTTGTTTAAATTACTAATTTGTTTATTTTTAATTTCTGTATTAATTTTATAGGTATATTTGAGAACAGAAAATAACTACACTTTTTTATGCATTTATTTATTATTTGCTTGTTCATTTCACATTTTGTAGTGCAAATTCTCTTTTGAACATTTATGATAAAAAGTGTATATGATGAAATTAACTGGCATTCTTCAATTGTTGTTCTAAATACATTTCACCTCTGAGTACCAAGGTTCAAAATTTGGTCACTTCTTGTGGAATGTTTGGGGAGGCAAAGCAAGTTCTTTATAGGTTTTCCCAGGGTGTGCCTATTTATCCTGGTTGCATCTTACCTCATCATCATCAGTATCATACATTACCATCATTTTTCCTATCACACCTGTCTTTACCATTGCATTTATCATGTGGTATAAAAGCACTATTTATACTGGATTTGAGAAGTTGAGCTGTAAAACAACTGCCTCTGGAGGAACCCTCAAATGAAATCAATAGATTCATAAAGAAATAGAATAGTAGAATCCCGTTATAATAGACATCTGGGATCATAGATTTTTGTCTCTTAAAAGTGAGAGAAGCTAATATACATGCATCACTCAATCAGTAAATGTGTATGTTTTCAAGTGGGTGTATGATGTTAAGTTTTTACTTACTATTGTCATAACAAAGTTTGTTGTTGAAAAATAGATTTTGAAATAAGGTCATGAACAATTTTTGTATTTTACAGGGAAAGTGAGAGTAGATTTTCTTCTTTCACTGATAAGTTATTTCTGGAAGGGTATTTCCACAGATGGGAATCACTTCTTGTCAAAGGTGCTTGCAAGTAAATCCAATGGAAAAATTTATCATTTTGACTTGTGACTTTTTCTTGTGAGAAAGTAATTTCCTCTGAAACCAATATTCTTTCTGTTGTTGGTGGGAAACTGGGAAACTCCTATGAGCAGGTCTCTTACAAGCAGGAAGAAAATGCCTATAATTAATTCATTGGGGCCTTGTGTAGTCATAATTAGAATTCTCGTATAATAGGGTATTATAAAATATAAAGCATTCGTTTCATTTATCAATTGATCAACTGAGTTAAAAAGAAGAAATTTAACAATTAGGATGAAGTTGTTTCTGTTTGAGTTAATTAGTTTTGAAAAATACCTGAAAATGAAATGTGGAAGTGTTTCTTTAAGTCTATTGCTTATTTTTAAATAAATAAATTAATTTATTCATGACATATTTAAGCATATTATTAATTGTACGTTACTGATAATAAAAGAAAAAAGTTACACTTTATTTATTTGTATATTTTAATATAGAGGCATAATTCTAAATTAAATTCTTGAACTCATCAAACTCACTTTTACTTCTCAAATTAAAATTTTAAAACTTAATTATTTTCATTAATGTATTAAATTTCTCTTGTTTTATAGGATTATTTTGTGCTACTTCCTGCTGCATTTTACGAAGCAAGTATTCTGGTGGAGAAAGTAGACAAACCATGTGAAATTGGTAATAGGAATCTTTGTCGACATTTCTCATATCCCAATCTGATTTCATTTGACACTGTTAGAGGTGAAGGAGGATTTGTAATGGATGGCCCTAGTCAAGTGTCTCTTCAACGTTACTTTACTGATACTGAGGTACATTTAGTCATGATAATTTCCTTTCATTCTCTCTCTGTCTCACTTATTTCTTCTATAAAATTATTTAAGTGTTCTGTGTCTAGCCATGAAAACAAGTTCTAGAAGAAAAAGTATTAGCCTTTATTCTGTTTTTATACTTTGTTTACTTGTACTAATTTATTGTGCTAACTGGACTTCTTTAATTTAACTATTTTGTTGTGTGGTATATATTTAATTTTATAAATATAAATTCCTATCATATAAAGGAACGTAGATAATAATGATTTATTTTTTACAGCAATTGAGAGAACTTAATCGTGATCAGATTCCTCTATTAAATGATGATCAAAATGAAATTCACTTTCGAATTATGATCTCCAAACCAGGCCCTCATGTTTTATTAATAAACTACGTTACCCCAATCCATGAACAACGATCAGCCTCTGTTCTTGTTGAAGCCAATACACGCCGCAATCAAGAGAGTGGAAGAGTTACGCTGTATGCCTGTCCATACACAGAATTTTGTAGGCAAGCAGTTATAGATAGACAAGGTCAAGTGGCTGTATTTAACTTGGACTCAAATCATGTTAATTTGACTTTAAAGGTGTGTTTATTTTCATTTAATCTAAAATTATGAAAATAGGGTCATTTAATAACACAAAATATGTTTTCATAGGCTGAAGATGGAACCAATGTTGCTCTTGAATCAATTGTTGCAATACCATTTGATGAATGGAATATTGATTACCAACAACCAAAATCTGCCTGTGTGAGGAAAGATGGATCTTGCTTACAAGCTTCCTTCCCAACTCCACCGAACTCTGTGAAGGTATTCAGTCATTTTATGTATTTTGATTATTTGCATGTGAATATTTAATATAAGATGATAACGTTATTGCATTAGAATATTGAAATATGTGTTGCTACAATTTTCATACTTTGAAAAAATACAATGAATTGACTGAATTAATGAAACATATTGATTTTTTGTTTACTTTAACTTTAAGGTTGAATTTGAAACTAATAATGAAGATCAAGTGGCAAGCACGTTGCCAAATCTATCAAATAATAAAACTGCACTAGTTTATCTTGATAAAAGTGATTCTATGATAGATGTCATTGGAAAAGTTCCTAACCCTGGATATTATGTATATGTTGTACATTATTACCAGCCTGATTATCCAGGTAATAAAAAGAAAGGAAATTTATTCACAGTATATTGTCTGATATTTATAAAGTATGACACATGAGAGAAATGATAAAGGAGTGAAGAAGATACACATACTTTTAATGGCCTATGCTTTATAATTACAGTAATTCTATTTAATTTTAAATATAGATGGTTCCTTTAATAATGAAAATAGTCAAATGTTTTGTTTAAGTAAGGCTAATCAATATGAAATTATTGTATTTTTTTACCATTCCAGCAAAAGAAAATAATGAGTTTTCTGTACTGAGGTTATTTTCTAAAAACTTTTCTAATGATGAACTTAAAGATGTATCTCAAATCAATTATTTTTATCATCATGAACATTTAAGGTATAGGTCTGTTGGTCTGTTTCTTTAGTTTAAGAATATCCCCTCAGTCAATTCCAAGGTGTTCTTAAATTATTTTTATATTGTTTAAAATCAATAGCAAAGCCATCTGAACATCTTAAATTTGTCTACGGTCTTAAAGTTTTATTGTGGATTCATTCATGCATCTTTCTTTTGTGTATAACATATGTAAAACAACATTCCCAGTAAAAAAAATATTTTTAACAATTTTTTTCAATGTTTTTTTCATTGTTTCCCTATAGCATTTGATATGGATGTATTGGTACAAAATGGACAATATTATGAGACAAAGTTAGAAATACAACATTGTCCATCACATTCTGGATGCCGATCAGTTGTGAAACAATCTAATGGAGAACCTTTTCAGTTAAATGAAAATTTTGTATTTACATTGAAGGTAACATAAATAAATGAAGTACTTAATATGAATTTAATGATGTTTGAGCCAATAAACTATTTCTATATTATGAAGATAAATATTTTATTTCAGGAAAAGAACGAGAAAGGTGTTTGGCTTGATTACATTTTAGCAATTCCACATGATAGATATTCAGACAAAGTTTTGGAAGAAGAGCCAGTTGATCATACAGGAATTTTTATTACACAATGTGGTCAAAATCATTTCTATATGAATGCATCTACTCAAGGTATCTGAAGTATCAATAAACAAATATTTTATTTACTCCCTGTTCTTAAATAACAATTTTCGAATTTTTTAATCTTGTCTATTTTAAAATTAGCTGGCATAAGCAAAGTTAGATTAATTAACTTTTTGTAAAATATTTTTTTTAGGTTTTTGTCGTGATGCTACATTTTCAATTACTGCTGACTATAATGATGGAGCTCTTCCTTGTCACTGTAATTTTGAGGGTTCACATAGTTTTGAGTGTGAAAAATTTGGAGGACAATGTACTTGTAAACCAAATGTAATTGGTCGAAAATGTGATGCCTGTAAAACAGGATACTTTGGCTTCCCTGATTGTAAACCATGCAGTTGTCCATCAGCTGCTTTATGTGATGTTTATACAGGTACAGATAATTAAATGCATGCTGTTTACTTTATTTTATCAACTTCAATAAATGAAATACTTTACTTGGATTTGGTTAGTTCCTAATATAAAGCATGGTTTTTCTGTAATTTCAGGTGCATGCATATGTCCACCAAAAGTTTTTGGTGAAAACTGTGATATGTGCATGGAATACACATATGGTTATGATCCTATTATTGGATGTGAAGAATGTAATTGCCACAATTTGGGTGTGGAAGGATTACGTTCATATGATGGAAGGGAACATCCAAATTTACAATGCAATCTTACTACTGGAAATTGCGAGTAAGAAATTTACATTCATTCCTTCACACGTCTTTCTATTTGACAGTTTATTTCTCCCTAGTACCTAGGCCATTGAAAATCCATCTATAACTTGGGATGTAGAGAAGTGTAGAGAAAGTATTGTAATGCTACTACGAGGGTTGCCTTTTATATTGAGAACAAAAACTAATATTAATCATCGAAAATCACTTTATTGTTTTTCCAAATAATCCCTATGAAGATCTATACACTTTTGCATGTGTTTGAACCAATTGTCGAAGCACTTTTGCCACTCTGATTGAGGTATCTCCAAAACATGCATTCTGAATGCAGCAACCGCTTCTTCAGCCGATGTATGAGAGCTCGCATTGTCGTGGTGAAGAGTGATCCGTCTTTGGCGGTTGGTTTTCCTGATTTCTTGGAAGACAGCTGGCAAACAAATCGTTGTGTACCACTCAGAATTGACTGTTCTGCGTTGTTCTAGTGGTACGGTTGTGACATGTCAAGTTTTTCCGAAAATACAGGCGACCATCTGTTTGGAAGTGCTTCATGCACGAACAACTTTTGTTGGATTTTGCTCATCTTGAAACACTCATACAGGCGACTGCTGTTTACTTTCGGGTTATACGCGTAAATCCACGATTCATCACCTGTCACGATGTCATAGACGTGTTTCGAAGCACCGCGATCGTATTTTTTGAGCATTTCTTTCGACCAATCGACATGAGCCTTTTTTAAAGCGATTGACAAATTGTGTGGGATCCAACGTGAATAAATTTTTTTGACAGTCAAGTATTCATGCAATATTGAATGTATGCTGATCCCACTAATGCTTAAGGCTGTCTCAGTCTCACGATAGGTCACATGACGATCTTGCAATATCAGTTCACGCACAGCATCAATGGTTTTCGGAATAACAATTAATTTTGGACGACCTTTGCGAAATTCGTCTTGGAGTGAATAATGACCACGATTGAATTCACCATACCATCGATAAACACTGGTCCTTGATGGAGCTTCATCGTCAAAAATTGAATTAAGTTCATTCATCCATTGTTGCTGAGTTAATCCACTTCGAAAGTTGTAAAAAATAATCGCACGAAAATGTTCACAATTAATTTCCAAATTTGATATTCCCCAATCAATCTGGCTGATGGCGCGGCTCCTTGAATTTGAAACTGATATTTTAATTTTGGAAGTACATTACATGAAGACCCTGGGACTGTTTCAAATTTTCAAAAAAATAACTCCATTGTTTTGATTAAATTTTGTTGTTGGATAGTGTGAAGGACATTTAAGAGAATTGTGCAGATCTCATTTTTACCAAAAACCCTGATTTTTCAAAAATTTCAAACTTTTTTTGGAGTCTTCCCACAATTAAAATATTAAAGATAGATATTTTTTGCATTAATTAATCTGTTCCTTAAAGATAGAGTTTGAAATAAGGTCATGTACAATTTTTTAAAAATTTGAGTTCTTTGCGTCCAATTTTGCATGAAAATCCGAGCAAGAATGTATGTGCTGTTTTAGCACCAGTTTGAAAGTAGCAATCCCTCACAGGCTGATGTTCTCACAGTTGTAAGTTTTGGTATTTGTTTTTTATGCAGATGTTCCTATAGATACATGATTTAAAATCTTCTTCCCAAGCAGATTTATTTATTCATTGTTTTGTACATACTATTTAAATAATTTTTTGTCAAGAGTTTTATGGATTTTCATGACAATTGCTTAAAAGATTTTGACTTTGAATACATATAGATAGTCTGATAATGATTATGCCAAAAGATAAGGAAACCATTGTTTGTTGTCAAGATAAAATTAATGAAAAAACTTTTGAATAAAGTAATTTTTTAATAAGAAAATGTAGGAAAAATCAAGAAAATTTCTGAATTCCATGATTAAAAGGCGAGTCATTGTTCCATTTTGGTAATGTCTGTCTCTGAGGCAAAAAAAATCATGTTCCTACCAGAGGGTTAAGCATTGATGTGGTGAGGAAGACAGCAGTTATTTTGTGCTGACTTCATTGCTGAAAAGCTCATGTTTGTTATTTGTTAGTGTCTTGTGAAATGCTGAAGGCAACTGGCTTTTGCAGGAAAAAACTAATGAAAATATTCTTTGTGCAGTTGCAAGCCAAATGTTGTAGGGCGTACGTGCGATCAGTGTCAATTGGGGCACTGGGGGTTCCCACATTGTCCGGAGTGTGAATGTGATTTGCGAGGAACTGTTCATGAAATATGTGACCAGGTAACATGATAATTAGATTTTGAAGATTATATTACAAGTATTGTAATGAATGTTTATTTGTTAGCACTTTATTAATTCTTCATTTTAGCGAACCGCTGAATGCTTCTGCAAAAGCAATGTTCAAGGACAAGCTTGTGATCTTTGCAAAGAAGGGACATTTAATTTGCAGCAACAGAACCCAGAAGGATGTACCAAATGTGTTTGTTCAGGAAAAACTACTCGTTGTACGAGCTCATCTCTTTACAGAGCACAAGTAATTAGCAGTGGAAATAGTGCTTACTTCTTTTGGGAACTCATTGTTACTATTATATAGTGAATCGGTTTTATTGGCAGGTATCTCATCTTGAAAATTGGGTACTTGCTGCCATTGATTTTGGAAAAACACTAAACATAAATTATTTACGAACATTGCCTGAACAAGGAGTTGATTTCATTGGTGCAGATTTAACAGAGCTTGAGTCAGAAGACAAAGTTGTATATTTTCGAACTCCACTTGAATATCTTGGCAACAAACTCACTTCATATGGAGGAAATCTGAATTATTCAATCTATTACACAACCTTAAGTAAGATTATAAAGAATAGTTTTATCATATTCATTTTGAAGTTTTAATTTGTAGACCAAATAATTTATTTTTAATATTTTAAGGGCATGGACAAGCTGTGGGTGAACCAGATGTAATACTCCAGAGTGGAGACCTTTATTTACTACATTCCTCTATAGAACAACCTCCAATAGCAGTAAAATACTCAGCCTCAGTTCAAATAGTAGAAAACAACTTTTTTCTGCCAACTAGACAACCTGCTACAAGAGATCAACTCATGCAAGTGTTGATGAAATTGGAAGGAATCTTCATTCGAGCAACATACTGGAGTTCTAGTTATACAACTCGGTAATTAGGAAATTAAGAACAGTGGCCCTTATTTCATAATTGCATTGAATGTTTTTGTTTCTTTCAGTAAATAAAAATGAAAATAAATTACTTTTAGATTACAAGATGTAACTTTAGATATTGCTGTGGAAGAATACAGTCCATATTCTTCTAAGGCTTTAGCTGTGGAGCAGTGTCAATGCCCTCCTAATTACCAAGGGCTATCTTGTGAAGATTGTGCTCCAGGATATTATCGTGCTCAAACTGGACCATTTGGAGGATTTTGTATTCCGTGTCAGTGCAATGGGCACTCAGATCAATGTGATCCAGTGACTGGTATCTGTTTTGTAAGTATATTCTTTTCTATTTTGCTTTATTGGAATTCCCCATGACGTATGTTTACACTTACTTTTCTTTTTCCTATTTTCTCTTCCGTACATATCATGATAGTATTTATGTTGATCCATTAAGCCACTTACTTAGAACTCAAGTGAATTGTTAAACTTCGAAACCTTGCCTGTAAATTAAATTTATGAAATATTCCAACGTTCAAGTTCTCCACACTTCAATCAAATGCTGTTTAATATCATTTTAAGTCCTTTTATCCTCCTATAACCATTGAGTAGCTGCATCAGTAGACTGTAAAAAACACTTGTCATTTACTTTTCCAATAATTTTATAGCTCTTTGTTGCACAACTGTAACTATAATTATCTTTAACATCTTAACTGAGCATGATGAATGGATTGGACACAAGAATTTCCTTTGTATTAGTATGTTTTCGTTTGAACTCTCAGTTGTTGTGGGCATTAGTTGGCAGACCAATAGAGTAAGTCATCAATGCCTTACTCTATTGGGTGGGATGAGAAGATTAATCCTTATTATTGTATTGGACAAGGCGAGTAATTAATTAATTCCCCATTCTGAAGCAATTGTTAAGCTGGAAAATACTGTGGTTAATAGTTAAACTGAATAATTAAGTGTATTCTTGTGAGTTCTTATAACAGTTCCCATGCCCATCTCTTATATTCTAATCTTGAAATACTTCTGTCATTCCAAACCAACAAATCTTTGAGGCCTCTTCTTTGTATGTCTGTAAAAACTCACATCTGATATCTTCTTTGTATCTACTTCTTTTTCTTCTAATAGAAACCACTCACAAATCTTTACAGGCCATCTCCTATTACCAAGGTTTTTCATGGGATCAAACCATTTTAACTGTTATAATCCATTTCATCCATTTATTGATTTTTTTTCCTTTGTTTTCTTTCAAATTTCTTATGAGATCCATTTTAAACTGTTTACAATTTCTTCTTGTAAAATCCATCTGCACAACTATTAATTTATCTTTCTCTCTTTTCTTCTTTTCCCATCTGATCCAGAAGCACTATATTTTGTATGACAGTATCAAAAAATCTTTTCTTAACAGATTGGGGTAATTATTTTTCTCCAGAGTACTTTAACTTTCTAGGGTCCCGTTACATGCACTGTATTGCATTATGTGTTTGAAACATCATCTTTTTTGGTCTCCCCAAATATTCTTGATGATTTCTATTTATTCTTCATTGACTGGGATGCTGCTGTATTTTCCCCTAAAACAAATATTTTGTTTTGAAGAAAGTGATCTCCTATTCTGCTTTCTCTTTTGTTTCCTGAAGTTTTGCATCATACACTCAACATCAAAATCATTATTAGCTAAAATTAATTCCCTAATCATCTCTGTATTAGCTTCTCATTGTGTGATCTTGGGTTTGATTCCCAGTGGGCGAATAACAGAGTTGTAGCTTTCCTTTAAAATCAATTCATCATTCAGTTTCTGAAGCTGCATGATGAAGAAACGCTAAGCCATGCAGAGTTTGCTAGTTATGGTGAAGGGAATACATCATGTTTGCTACTAGTCTTTTTTATTCCCCAAGCGTGGGAATTAAACTACGCTCAGGCATTGGGAACACTGTTAGCTGGCCAGCAAAGGTGGACAATCTACTCAAAATGCCAATTACATACATACATCAGCCAATTATAACATTTTGAGATACTCTTCACTGAAATGATCTCCCATATCTCCAATTTTTTGCCAATCTTTCAATATTTTATTGAGAATTTTAAACTAACTTGATGGTAAACCACATTCTTACCAATTTTTTGTACACATTAAGGATAAAAAATGAATCAGGCTAATTCCTGAATTAGTCAGTTAATGTTCATATTATCCAAAGTGGATAAAGTCTGAAATAGGAAGAACTTTGAAGTGTGCTTTGGATTTAAGACAGTTGAAGTTGACATTAACTAACATTAGATGGCTAGGGTAGGTGAAGTATATTACGGTGATGCAGATTAGCATATATCTGGTAAACTGGGATCAGACTATTGCTGGGAAGTTTCTTAGGCTAATGAGAGGCAAGGTGTGTAGTTTGAGTTTTACAGTGTAGTCATAAATTTCTATTTACTACCAAACCTAATCTCATTATACCTCAACTAATGCTTCGCTATACATTTCCAAGTTGCCATGACCACTAACCATTTCTAAATTATTGTTTAATTTTTGCCAAGTTAGATTTTAATGGATTATTTCATTAAGTAAATTCTGATAAATTGGCTAGATTTAGATTCCAAATTACACATGCTTTTGATTGAATTGATACAGGAACCAATATAATTTGGGTGCTATCAACTTTTTTTGCCTAGTTCTAACAATTGGAGGTTACAGTGTCCCATGGAAAGTGTATATTTACCAAATGTCCACATTTCAAAAATTCAATAAATTATCATAAATCTTATTATAAAAAGTCCAAGTAGAAAGAGGTGTATCGTAATATTTTTGTTCATTAATTTCTCTGGCTGTTTATGAAGTTTTAAATTATATAACACAGTACACAGATATCTTTTATTAGCTTTATTACTGTTTTTGAACTCATTGTATTTTAAAACTTCTTGCATTCTCTATTCTTCTTCAGTTGGTAATATATTTTTTATTAGGAGATCAAATGATTTCATGGCATTATTGTAGCCAATACACTTTTTTGTCCTGTTGTCTAAAATTCTATGTATATTTTATTGTTTCTCATAGTGAATGCATCTTTAAATTTTAATACGCATAGAAACATTTTCCAGCATTTTTGTTTGTGGACAGTTCTGCCTGTGGTTGTTATCCAGTGGGCATCCTGCACTTGGGCACTGCACTGGACTTTTTATAGGCAGAATTTTCTGTAACTGAACATTCTCATGTGGACATTATGATCTGGAAGAATTCAAAAATACTCTCCTACAGACATGACATTTTATGGTCACCAGCTCTCTTGGTCTTACAACAAAAAATTCATTTTTAGCTTATAATTGTATGTTTGTTTTCATTCTTCTTTACTTCCAATTTAACCTTTCAACATGGAATGCCCTCATGAGATGACACGCTTCATTTATCTTTGTTTGTATCTGTACCTACATGTCAAGGGATTTTCCTGTCTGAAACAGGATGTTTTGTGGAGATGGTGGGTTGCCATATTGGCACACCATATGCCACCACAGTGACACACACAGCCCCTTCCTCTTCACTCATGTTAAAATGCTACTGTATTTAATCTAGGCTCCATGATGAAGAATTAAACATTTTTTTCCCTATTCTTTCTCTGCCCTTCTTCATTCTTGAGTACTTTCCTTTATATTGTTTCTCATCATTATCTTCAAGTCAATTTCATTTACTGTTTATAAAAAAGTATGAAACTATTAAGTTTTAATCCATTAGTAATATTTAACAGTAACTGCTACTCACTTCCATACATTTTCAGGATTGTAAAAATAATACTGTTGGAGAGCACTGTGAATTTTGTGATGTTGGGCATTATGGCAATGCAACTCAAGGCACACAAGTGGACTGTATGATTTGTGCATGCCCATTGCCTATACCTTCCAATAAGTATGTTATACAATGAATAATATTTCTTACTATTATATGGGATTTGTAGAGATTTTTTATTACTTTGAGAACTTCTTTGTACTCATTCATTATATTACAATTCTTAAACCAATAATTATTTTTTTCTCAGTTTTGCCACCAGTTGTGAAGTGAGTTCTGATGGTGAACGAATTCATTGCGAGTGCATTCCTGGATACATAGGACCTAGATGTGAAGTTTGTGCAGCTGGATATTTTGGAAGGCCTGAATACCAAGGTTTTACATAATTCTTAAAATCTCTTTATTAAATACTTTGCAAAGATTTATGGATGTTTTGCGGTGGGATGAGGATGTTTTGGATGAAAAATAATTTTTCAGGTGAATATTGTCAACCATGTGAGTGTTCTGGTAATATTGATCGAGAAGATCCTGGTGCCTGTGATTCAATAACTGGTGAATGCTTGCATTGCCTAAACAACACCTATGGAGAAAGTTGTAACTTGTGTGCTCCTGGATATTTTGGTGATGCTGTTGAATTAAAAGACTGTCAAAGTAAATAATACAATAATCCTAGTACTATTGTTAACGGTATTTTAGAGAAATAAGGATTACGATGAATAATGTTATTTGCGTTATTTATTTTTCCAGGTTGTATATGTGATCGATGTGGAACTCATTTTTGCAATAATGAAAATGGAGAATGTCAATGCCAAGAAAATGTAATTGGAGAAAAATGTGATAGATGTGAACCGGAGCATTATGGTTTTTCATCCTGTCAGGTATGACTCAAGTCACCTGACATACCTTCCACTTCTGTGGGTTTTAAGTAGTATTATAATATTATGTAACCATTACATATTTTGTGAGAGAGTACACGCTCTACTAGTTTTACTTATCTCTAATCTTGACTGGCTTTTGCGACAATCCTCTTTCTCTTCAAAGTTGCTTTCATTTTCGTGCCTGAAAAACAATTTTTTTCACATTTTCTCAATTTCTCAGCTCCATAGTGCTAGAGCAGAAACCTCCATACACTTATTACTATTACAGAAGTATTCATCTCATGTACTAACGGGATGGCCGAAGTGGCTAAATTGGTGGGTACAGACCCAGCTCTTTGGAGGGAAGGTTTGCTGGTTTGAGTCTTGGCTGGGAATTATTATTTGTGGCAATTCTGTGTTGCCGCAGGATTAGTTGAGGATTCCATAAACTTAGTGGAAAACCATTTGAAGCAATTCTAATCGCAAATAGTATTAGCCAAGATAAATAAACTGAAAGTATCTGTATGTGATTTTCGAATTTTTAACTTTTATACAATTTTTCACATCTTTAATTGGATTTGTTAAACATATGAACCATCAAATCAATTGTTGTCTTTCAGCGCTTATGACTATTATAGAAGTGACAATTTTATATATAACTCCTGTGACTGAAGTGGTTAAATGTTGAGTTCGGTCTCTGCGTTTTGTGGAGAAGGGCCACTGTTTGGAGGCTAGCTCAAGAATAATTATTTGTCACAAATCTCTGTTGCTTTTAATCAGCAAAAATTATGTACCGCATCGAGTTATGCCTTCCGAGCTGTAATCTTTTTCTGCCCAAAGGACATTTTACATGTTAATTTTTCCGCCGCCTAATACTATGACTGAAACACGAAGTTCTTATGATTATTATACGAGTGCCTATCCCCTTTACAACCCTGGAGACCGAGGTTGGTTAAACAATATGTATTGTCTCAGTGCTTTGAAGGCAAGGTCGGGAAATGCGATCCTCATTCAGGGATAATTATTTGTCACAATTTCTGTGTTGCTGAAAAGTATTGAAAATTGCATATACTTTTTTGAAAATAATTTTTTTTACATGAATGGGGCATTTACCTTGTACCCTTGTAGGTGTTTGACATATTTGGCGAAGTAGTATTAGAGCCAGCACCGAACCGAACTCTGAGGATCTGAGTAGTAGTGTAATGTCGCAGAGTTTTTAGAAACAACGCATGAAAGTGTGTACTTGGGCAGCACCACTGGTTTTACTTTTCCTTATATACGTGGTATAGGGAAAGTTATGTAATGCTGCGGAAAATCGATTTCGAGATTTCAACGAAAATACACGTTTTGGAGTCCTCTGATACTGAAAAAGTGTTGTTTTTTTCTTCTTCAGAAGTCCATCTGTCTGTCCATCTGTGAACATCACTAGCACCTAAATCATACATAGGAATTTTTTCCCCTCCAAATTGAAGATGCCCCTGTCCATCTGGCTCGAATGGAAGCTTTGATATTTTGAAAAACATTGAAATTTGGGGGTATTTTACATGAAGCCCCAGGAACATTTTCAGAATTTTCTGAAAAACGGCTTGAATGTAAAATATGCTTATAAGTGGCATACGATTTTCACGGTTAACTCTGAATTTTCGAAAATTGAATTGAAAGTATGAATTTTTTGGTGTCTTCTTACAACTACGAAATTTAAGATAGATTTTCAGAAACGCTCAAACACCATTTTCTCAAAAATGGCACCAAATTTTTTCTTCAAACGTTTTGAACGGAATTATACTCTTTAATATGATGTAAAGTTCATTTTGGGGAATTTTTTGTTTTTTCAAAAGTTATTCAAATGGGGAATTATTTGTTGTTTTTTTTTAAGTCCTCTCAAGCTGTTATTGTGCACATTTCGAGCAATTTGTTGACACTGTTGTATTTGTGAGTTATAGGACTTAAATTTGACTTCAAATGAAGTTTTTCGAAAATCCAAAACTTTCTGTGAAAGAGAGCTTCAAATTTCGAATTTACAGTAGCACTTATATGTCGTTTCCTTAAAACTGCTCCAAATTTTCAAAGAAAATTGCCAGTTAGGACAAAGTTTTATTGTTATTTAAAATTCTTAAAATAATATTTCTGTTCTACAATTAAGAAACTGAAAAATTAAGAAAATGTTGAAAAAAGTACTTTGGGCAGTGATAGATGGCAGGTGGCAAGTTTGAATAGCTAGCCAAGACCAAAGAAAATAGAAAACTAATACGGAAAAGTCTGTGCCGTACCACTAGTTTTTCATGATGTTTTTTTCATGTTAGCTTAAAAATAATTGTTGTCTGCAAGTTATGAAAGAATTGTGAACTAGAACAGTGCAGAAATTATATGGAAATTTTGTTGAGAGTGTTGATTAGGAATAAACCACCAGAATTTAAAATTTTCAAATTTTTGAGGTAGTTTATTTCATAATATATTTTTTTTATCTCTAATTTATTGGAGAAACTATTGTTGAAAACTAACATTACTCAATTTAATGCAATGATACAAACAAATATTTAATTATGATGCCAATGGTAGCTTCTGACAATAACAGATATGAGAATGGGATGCCAATGAGAATTTTGGTCTTCAACTCTAAATAAAGAAGAAAAAACTAGTTTGAAAAGTACTGGAGAGAAGGAATGCTATGTCAAACTATTCTTGTCAGTTACAAGCTAATTTTTCATAGTACTTCCTCTTTGTATTAATATTAGTCCTACATCTATTTACGAATATTTTGTATTTTGTTATTTTAGGGATGCTTGCCTTGTGATTGTGCAGAAGCATCAGAAAGTTCTCAGTGTGATGATGATACAGGAAAATGTCGTTGCAAACCTGGTGTTACTGGACGTACATGTGATCGCTGCATAGCAGGGTTTTGGAGTTATGGACCTGGAGGATGTTACTGTAAGTGTCATTAATATTTTTTAATTAACAAATATACAATTCAACATTGATCCTTCAATGCAAAATATCATCTTGAGATGGTACATTGCTTTCACCTTGATTCACGGGTATCAATTCCCAAATGTCTGGAGCCTTTCCTCTCTCCCACTCATCCATGCCAGGATACAATGTGGAGTTAGAGGGTGGCTGTCATGGCACAGTGATTTAGCTTCGTGCTACTGGTGAGACACAAAGCTCCACTTCTTTCACCCAGAATGAAATGCTACCACACTTAACCTCAGCTTTATTTTGAAGAGTTAATCCCTCAAACTCTGGCGAGAACAAAAATCTAAAATGGATGAAATTTTTTCCTGAAAAATGGAAATGTTCCCTAAGTGAAAAGGGAATTATTGCCCTCCACATCCCTGTGCTATTAACTAAAATTAAATAATTGTAGGAAACACACATAGATTTCAAAACTCATTATATTTCATGACAACTCATAATCGCGTGATTGGTATTTGAAACTGTGGAGGGTTTTCTCTAAATGAACAAAAATCATAAAAATTAGATATTTGCAAACATGACATTTTTTAAGAAGTCCATTGTATCTATTTTTAGATACAATATTCATATATTCCATATTCTGTTCCACTCAGTACCAGTTATTGCATAGGGTGGTCCAAAACAAAAACACATAGCATGCAAATAATTATCCAGCCCCAAGCTGTTGTAAATAAGTAAGGAGATAATACCTATGTAACATATGTATTAAAACTGTCATATCAGTTGTTTTTTGTAGCCATCAGCGAGTCATATATCACCTTCTTTTTTTCACTGAAATGATCACTTGCAGAACAAAAATGTCAAGTTTTATCTGCTGCATAACTGTTTTTATACAAATAGAGTATGACACAAAGTATACTGTGAGTATCAAAACCAAAAATAATATTAATTTGAAATGATGACTTTGATGCATTTGTAAATTATTCTTTACATTGCATACTACTTAAATGTAACAAATGTAAAGTTCTTCTGAGTCTGTAACCCCAATCTTGATTGGGGATCCAGTTTCCCTTCATCCACAGCGAAAACACTAAATCTTTGGTTTGATTCTTGATATTAAATGTTCAGGTATTACCATTCCATCCCACAAGTCAAATCCAGCTTTTACTGCTTTTGATATTGAATAAATAAATACAAAACACAAATTTCCATTTTTCAAGTAATAGCATAAGTTAAATTAAATTTTCAATATTTCAGCTTGTGGCTGCAATGAAGAATATTCAGTAGGTGTTGGTTGTAATGCTACTACTGGACAATGTCATTGTCTACCAGGAGTAATTGGGGAAAAATGTGATCACTGTCCTTACCGTTGGGTACTGATTGATCAAGAAGGTTGTATGGAATGTGACAGTTGTACTCATGGTCTTTTGGATGTAACTGATGAGCTTAGAGATCAAATTGTTCCCATTTATGATGAATTTAAGGTGAGAATAAACATAACATTATTGAGCAGATATTATATTCAGTAAATTTGCATGTAAGTTTTTATTTTAAATTGTACATTTGTGTATATTCTGTGTACATTCAATACTATAACTAGACAATTTTGGTCTATCATTTCTATGAAATAAGAGTTACTGCAAAACACTTCTAGCCACGTTGGGTTACATCACAACTGTGCAAACTATTTATTAACACAAATACCTTTGCAGACAGCTGCGTTGGGTTACTTTACTGCTCAACGCCTTGTTTACATTAATAAAACAGCCCATGATCTTATTCCACAAGTGAAATTATTAGATCCTGAAAGAGTTAATCTGAAACCGTTAGCAGAAGAAGTTGAATCTTTGGAAATGGATACAAGAAGTTTGTATAAGAAGGTACCTTATATTTATCATATTAACCATGTTGTTAATTTTTACCTACCTGTATTAGTAAGAAGTTCTCTTAGGGAAGATCATTTTGATGTATGTTTGAATGAATCAATGAAAAATGAAGTCAACTTTTTGATGAATTGTTCTACTAGTTATGTACAAATTATTTCAGGCAAATTATTCTGTTGATAATGCTGAAGCTTGGTCACCAAAAGCTGATAAAGTGAGAATTGATGCATTAGATGCAGAACAATTTATTCTCAAAGCAGTGGAGCAGTCAAATGGAATTGTATATGAAGTGAGCCAACTGTCATCTAATTTGGAAGGGAGAGCTGGTGAGTTTCATTCTTGAAAATAGAAATATAGGTAAAGCACATACAGCAATTGATTTTTCCATAAAAAATGAACATGCTTTATTATTTTCTTATAGGACCCCAAGTCGACTATGCATTAAACGAAGCACAAGAAATTGTAAGAAGAATTCAACAACGAAATTTTGATACTCAGAGGGAAGAAGCTGAACAAGAATACCACAGATCTTTGGAAGAGTTCAATAAAATGACAGACTTTGTTACTCCGGCTCATAATCAAAGCAAAGCTTTCAATGCTCTGAGAAAAAAAATTCATGAATTTGATGACCGATTAACTGATCTCCGTAATCAGAGCGTTCATGCAAGAAACATTGCTGCTGATGCATTTATACTAAATGATCAAAACAAGTGAGTTTATATTTCTAAAAAATATTATTATATCCTATTGTCTTGAGATGCTATAATGCTTTTATGAAGAATACTGATGTTAAATTAACTGACAGTAGCAATCAAAATAGCAACAGGACCATAGTGGTATGGTCGAATTAGTAGTATCTCTTACAAACAATGTCTGGACAATAAATGTGGGAATTTAGAACTAGACAATTGAGATTAGATTTATTCTGCTCCTGCTTCACTGACACAACAGTACTGCACTTCACAGAGACCAAAACAATTGAATTGAATCTGTATTAAGAACCTTCAGAGAAAGAACCAAGATAATGAAGGGCATGGTTCTGGAGAAAGACACTTTGCTTAGACTCTGTGAAAATTTTGATTATTTTTAACATTATGACTTTATGATTTTTGTCACCTTATAATTTCACACGTGGATTTTTATACTCAATATTCTCATTCAAGATACAATTAATATCATTAGATGAAAATTAATATTTTTTCAAGTTGATTATGAAATGTATTTCTCTTGAAAGTTAAATTGATTACAAGGATTTATAATATTACATAAATGCCAAATGTCACAAAAAGGGTGCCCTTCTATTCAATGATGGATTAATATGATGTGAATGATCTGAAACAGCAACTGCAAATAAATAGCTTTTGGCAGTTGAATGAGAGGGTTGCATCACATAGTCCATCTTGTAAGAATTCAAGATGTTTGTATTGGTTGTCTATAGTTATTGGCTTATTGAAGTTTATTCTCACATTTCCTCATAATCAAACCCAATAATGGTAAGTTAATGAGCTTCTGAAATTCCCATCCCCAATGGATTTTGCAGTGCCATAATGTGCATTTACAACTTCCTGAATAAAGTCATACTGTATGTTGGTAATTTCATCATCACTTACATTATTGTCTCTACTTATATCCCTAGTAGCATTGAGTAATGCCCATTTTGAGACATTCTACATACTATTCTTAGAATGGTGGTATGAAATTAATAAATAAATTATAGCGTAACCATTCTTTGCAGTTATTTCTTGCATACGCACCAATAAGGGTACATTTTATTCACTAGGTCTTCAGTTTTCTGCCCATATTACATATCTACTTACTACTGTATATCTGTGCCTTTCTGTCTTCAGTTATTCCATTTCTTTTTTGTTATAGCAATGACAATATTCTTTAGGATACTTCCAAGAGGTCTTAAGAGAAATGTGTTTTGTTACTAACTCATTCAACGAATTTTCTTTTACTTGATTCTGTTAAATTAGACATCCTTTATGGATATTTTAAAGTAAAATAATAGGTACTTCAACAAAGTAAAAATTACCGTTTTATATTTTAAAATATGTGAATTTGAAATTCAGTAAAAAAGGCAAATAACTTCTGCAAATCAAACTAACACTGATACAATGAATCATATTAACCCTTAACTGTTGTTTATCAGGAATTCAAAACTTAACAGTAAAGTTGAGGCTGTGAAAAATGTATCAAAAGAAGCAAATGAAGCAATAAATGAAGGAAAAATTTTGGTAGAAAATGCCACAGAACTGTATCGCCAAGCCAGACAACGCTTCAATGAACTAAGTATTAACATACATTTTTATCATCTTTCTGCATGATCTTATTTTAGAATGATAGACCTAGTTTTATGCATGCGAAACAATGATTTTTTTAGGGAATACAAGGAGAGGCTCACCGATGATAATTTTTGATACTGAATAGTAATGTGCATACAAAATTTGGTTGGATATAGTTTACTTACTGGGAACGGACGCCATTTTTGCTCCTGTCACAGTACCAACATCATGGATTTTAAAAGTGAAATAAATGATTGATTTAATCAACATAACAGAAATAGCGAATTTTTGTGTGCATGTACAACAATGGTCGGTTTTCGGGCTACGCGATGAACATCCTTGAGTCTGTCCAACGCATTTCCAAAGTAACTTGTAAACGGCAGCCTGCGGGATTTCCTCAAAGCATCCTGTACATACAAAACATTTGTATTAGACTGTAAATAAAACTATGAACATTTTGGTAAATCGGAAGTTAGCGGTGGCACGGTTCTTTTGACACAAAAAATTTCCTTCGCCAGGGAGTCGATTTTCAACAAAGCGAATAAAAGATTGAATAATACAAGTCATCCTAGAAATTAATCTTATAGAAAACACAAGTTAGCAACCCACACATGTTGACACCAAGTGGCCAACGCACGTCGCTACAATGGATTCAATGTGCTGCGTTCGCGAATGCCGCCCTCCGGCGCTTCGCGAGGGCCTGCCTCGCTCGGGTGCTCACGTTGTTTTATCTACTTCTCTCACTTTTAAGATAATTTATTTTTAAAAGGAATAGTATTATACTGACCTACACCAATAACAATTAACCATAATACCTACACGAGAATTAATAAATCATTAAAAAGGAACTGTGCCACCACCAGCTTCCGATCATCTAACATTTGGTACTGTCATTCTGAATGAGCAATTGAACAGTGCTCTGAACGTCTCTTTTCGTCTTTTACAATTTCTACTAAGTTCTCCGGATTCTTTGCTATTGTTGTACTGCATTTCGATCCTCGTAGGGTTGACGAAACGTCGTATGGAAACTTACAATTGTGAGGTTGACAACAGATGAAATAAATGAAGTATGCATGGCGCGTAAATTCCCCATAAGTAAACTTCAACCTTTTATGTTTCTTAATGCTAAGCATATTGACAGTGTAGGTTTGAATGCATTTTTGTAATAAATATGGTCAGTGTGTACAATTAGGTCAGTATATATAGAAAATAAGATTGGATTAGTAAGATTGATGGAAGAATTCAGACAATGTTGGATGAAGAAGTATAATTTAATTAGAATGCAAAGAGATATAATGAAAAAAGTTAATGGATTTGTTGGTATGTTTAATGATGTATGAAACGCAGTTACTACAAATTTCTGTGTATAGGAGTTTTCCTCTGAAAAGTAGATGTATTGGGTTGGAAAGTAACTTCAGTCAGCATACTGCTCAGCGCTTGGCTAGTCAGGTGTGTAAATCCTCCAGTCAGGGCCGGATTTACCCACAAGCAAAACAAGCAGTTGCTTGGGGGCCCCCATTCACCAGGGGCCCTGCGTTTCGGATAAATGCTCATACCGTATTTTTTTGTCTGTGAAATAATTGTTAATCAAGTAGTCTACTGTGTAACAAAATGTACAATTTCAAAACATTAAAAAAAAAAATTTATTACATGTTAAATTAGTCTAATATTAACTATACTTTATTTCCTTTACTTATTACTGAATTTGTAATTTTTTTATGCAAACCTCAAAATTTGCAGTGGAGAGCAGAAAAAAAAATATGTAAAATGTATTTAATGTAAAAAACGTAACACAAGTAAAAATTTCTATAAAAAATTATCAGTTTTCATTTGTATCTGTACAGAAAGTACTTGTACTATAATACATTTTTTATTTAATAAAGATGGAGCTATTATTTCGTGGGGGGGGGGGGGCACAATTTTGTACTTGAGGCCCCGCACTACTTAAATCCGGCCCTGGCTCCAGTAAGTGGGTGGTAGGTCAATACACAGGGAAAGTACCACACAATATTGCCATTTATTGAATTATATTACCTCCCATGTGTATGGCATATTAGTCACAGTGAAACAGCAGGTGACTTGTTATCAGATGCTTATGACTGAGTGGCTACAGTGAAACCAAATTTATTTCATTCCAACCCAATTTTTGCATATGAAAATGGATATGTAAATTTATGACAGTCATCTTCAAAGCATCAGAAATATTATTTGCAATTTCGAACTTTGCTATATAGTTTTTATTTTAATTGAAATGTGATTTTCCTTAATGTCACTATAATTTGGCTTGACTGATATTTCAGGTAATGCTTTTGAAGGAATAAATCATGCTTCAGATACCTTGCAACTCAGAGTAAATTCTACTGAAGAACAGTTAGAAACAGTTAGTGAACCTTTAGACAATGCCCTTCAGCATGCAGAGGATCTTCGGATCAGAGTAAGTTTTTAGCAAGTTTTTCTGTGATTTAAGATAATGTCCTCATGCTACCCATACTTAAGTGTATATTATCCGCACATGTTTTCTTGAGCCCTCGCTTTGCTAGATTTGAAAGGAGTGGAGAGTTTGGTTATTTTGATGAAAGCAATTTTACGTCAAATTTGTAGTTCATTTTTCTATGCAAAATTGTTTTTAATATATGGGAGCGAACATTCCTCGTCGCCAGATTTTGTCTGCAACTGTCATTGCTATCATTTATTTTTAATGCAACTAATTTTGGGAAAGGAGTGGGAGTAGATATTCCGGGGCTTAAGAAAACGTGCGTATATAATCTCGATCATGTGTGAAGGCATGCAAGTGTATACCTACATGAAAGAGGAGATAAAAAAATCAGAAAGAGTAACCCTTTCGCAAAGGAATTTGCAATTAACATGTTGATTATAATTACAAATTGATATTTATTTATAAATTAAGATGTAAACAATCAATTTCACAAAAGAAGGTAACAAAACACAGGTTTTGTTTTACAACTCTTTAAAGAAATCCATATTAATTTTCATTTTCTGACAAAATAATTTCTATACCCTTTGAGAATAATTGGATATTTTCAGGCTGCTGCTCTAGATGGTTTGCTTGCAGAATCACGATTTACTACTAGGGATGCAGTAGATGCAGCAAATTCTTATAAAAACATAGAAGAAGCTATCAATGATGCTCTGAAAGCAGCACAAGAGGCACAAGGTCCTGCTGAAAATGCTACATTAATGGTACTTATTAGAGTATTTTATGAAAGAGTTTATTTAGTACAGTAAAATCTGTCTAAGTCAGAATCTATCGAGACAAAAAACAAAGAAACTGTTTAGGGAGGTTTCCGTTTTATGACACTTGTGATATTGACATATTTGCCCTCAAAGTGCAAAATTACACAGCATTATTAAAATTATCGAAATACATTAACATATAATGTATTTATGGAAGAAATCACCCACAGTCTTCATTCACAGCTTCGAAGTTGAAAATACGCCCCTGACTGGCTGTATTTGGACTGCTTGCTGACTCTTTCAACACACAGTGCATCATAACCCAGTACTATTACTTTCTGATACCTTTGCGTGGCCTTGAGCAATGCGTATCTGGTGGAGGTGTTATGATTTTCAATACAAGGCAGGGAAACAAGTGAATTGAAGCAATTCCTGTACAGCTTCCCATGCTCATAGAGTCAGGAGTGAAAGAATTCTCCTACAGCCTACAGTTTGAGAGACACATGACACCAAGGTCGAATTCTATGTTGATAACTGAAGCCTCTCTCCTTCAAAGAAGGCTGCCATGACTAAATTAAATTGTGTATCACAGGGATAGAGAATTTTAAACAAGCTTGCAGATGCGTTCGTTTCATTAAGAACATCTCGCGTCTGTCTGTCAATTGCATTAAATTCACAAAAATTCTGTTTTATAATGATTTTTTCCCCTGTATTATAAATTGTTCCGTTTTGATGGAGAGGTTCCGTTTAATGATATGTAAAATGCCATTTAACTTCACGGTCCAGAGAAATTTTCTGGGTAAGGTAGGTTTCCGGCTTGTATAAGTTCTGGTTTTGACAGATTTTGCTGTATTATGTATTATTTGAATAAATATGTTTCAATTTATGATATATTATAATAATAATTCTTTATAGTCTGTGGGTCTTGATGCACGTACTGGGAACTCTGAACAACGCTCATCAGGCCTTCTTGCAACAGCAAAAACTGCTTTACACAAAGCACAAACAGAATTATTACCAGAATTGGACAAGGCCAAATCCCTCGTTGAACAGGTTGATGAACTGAACAATGACAGTCAAGAAAAAGATGCAATGATCAAGGAGTAAGTGAAGTAGCTCTATGAGAAATCCTCATAAAAAGACATTTTTATTTAGACCATGAAGCATTAAAGATAATTTCAAATCGAGGTTAATAATTTCTAATTGAATTTTGATACAGGGAATTGAGAAAACTTGCTGCTGGAGATGATACAGGACGTAGACAAGCAATGAAGGATGCTCAACATGCTGAAAGTATGGCAAATAATGCATCAAATCAGATAGAAGCTATTGCCGGAAGATTGCCTGGAGATGTTACGAGATCAAAGACACTGCATAGAGTAGCTGACAATGCTAACAGCCTCATTGAACAAGCTTCCCAGCAATGTATGTAATTTATCAAAATGTTTTGGTGCATTAAACAATACATTACAAGAATAAGCAACTGTATTAACTCACGAGTTTGCTAATAGTTCTGTTTAAAAGATATGTACATAGAAATATAATCAGATCACATTTTTCACAGTGGGCCAACTCAATAGTCTTAGTCTTAATTATTCATTATTGTTTCATTTCCTTGGTGATTTAAGAGATCTGATTAGGGTAGGAATTGTTGATAGATTTAATTTTACCAGGCATTTTAGACAAATTTATTTACATGCTACAAGTGTGACAGCACTCTGTGATTTATCTGCTCTTTACAAATTCACCTATTCTTTCTTCTTTTGCTCAGTCTCAATTGGACAAGAAGTAATTTCTTTTTTTGCACTTCTTTTCTTCTCGTATTTATTTTTTACTATTTCTCAATATTTGATTAATGTTATTTCTTTTCTCTGCTATTTTTGCCAGTGACAAAATTGGACCATGTACTACCAAATATAAACACTTTAATGGGAACTGTTAAAAACACACAACGAGAAATGAATGACACCAGTATAGACTTTGGAAAGAAACTTGAAGAATTACGACAAAAAGTAGCACGAGCAAGAGAGCAGGCAAATAGGTAGGTGGATTTCAAACAAGTAGGTAGATTAAATATATTTCAAAATGAGTGAAACAGTTAATAACTCTCTCTTCAAAACAGGATCAGAGTTGGTGTAACTTTTCAACGTAATACTTTTCTATCTCTGGATAAGCCTAAAGATTTGGCATCACTTGGCACTGCCACACGTGTATCAGTTTATTTTAAAACAGCAGAACCTCAAGGTTTCCTATTTTATTTAGGAAATGACCAGTTGAGTCCTAGCAAATCACATAGAGGCCAACAAACAGTAAGTAACAGTTTATAAAAATGAATGTCATTTTCATAAGGACATTTTAAATGAACTATTGAATGATCAAGACAATACCAAATTATATAGCTTTATTATCTCAATCAATAAATTCTTAGGATAGAAGAGAAGTTCTCCAGTTTTTAAATTTGCACAGTAGACAGAGTTCTTGAAACTAATTAGTATAAATACATATTCTATCATTTTTAAATGCTGTCATGTTTCATTTAAATCTGGGTCATAGAGTTTTCTTTAAAACATCATGGAAATCAATCTTAACTGGTACAAATTCATATATTAGTAATGACAAACTGTAAAACTGCTGGCCTGGATAACCAAAATCGCTAAGGTCGAAGAGTCGTAGCTGCCTCAGTTCAAAGGGTTGCGGGTTTGAATAGAATAGACCTAGAAGTTAAAATTGACCTAAAATAAAAAATAAATAAATTTTAAAAAAATATAAGAAACCTAGGAAAATGAGATTTCCTCTTTTTTAACTTTGCTTTTTTATAGAATTAAATTGTATTAAATATCTCATAAACACTATTTTCTACTCTGTCTTAAATTAATTAATTCATTCACTTCATTATATAATATTTAAAGGTCTTATAAATCGGTAATTACAGTCATTACAAGTATAAATTAAATTTTAATAACATTTAATAGCTTTCTATTACTTACATTAGTGTTTAAGCATGTAAATAAAAATACAAACAAATATGTGTATTAATTAAAAAGATGAAATGGGATAATACATTTTAAAATGAATGTATGTTTCAGGGTGATTTTATTGCCCTTGAAATAGAGAATGGATATCCAGTTCTAATAATTGATCTTGGTGCTGGACCTCATCGAATAATTATTGATGATAAAAGAGTTGATGATGATGTATGGTATCAAGCAGTTGTCGAAAGGTAATATGCTAAAAAGCCTTCATTATACTTCCTTGAATGCATTTGTTTTAAATGGGATTTTTTCACAGAACTGGGAGAACTGTCCAATTAACAATAAATGAAGAAGACAGTTACAATCAGCAGGTATCACATACTAAAAAGGAAGTCATACCAGGTTCAAAATACGTTCTTAATCTGGATCCAGAACATTCAAAATTGTATGTTGGAGGAGCTGAATCTGTTTTCGAAATGCCAAGTGATGTGAAAACATCATCATTTGTTGGTGAAATGGAAGAACTCATGATTGGCAACACACATATTTCATTATGGAATTTCCGTGATGCCGTCAACAACCAATTTGGAGCTTATGAAAGGTGAATGTTAATAAGCTGCTTAGGAACTTATGTGAAAATGTGGGTTTTGTAGCAGATACCATGAATACTGCTTTTTGTATATGCACAATGTGATTAGTACAATTCTATTAAAACTTAAAGGTTTTTATGTAATTAATGAAATCTTTGCTGTATTAAGATGACATAAATGTTTTACTTATGCTTGTTTTAATTGAAATTAATTATTATTCATGAAATGATTTGTAACTTTTTTTCATATTTATAGGGACAAATTGGTTAACCTTCAGCCAAGTACTGGGTACCGGTTTAATGGTGATAACTGTTATGTAATTGTTGATGGAAAACATATATCAATACAAAGACAGAGTGATGTCCAACTGAGCTTTAAAACATTTGCTACTGATGGATTACTTTTCCTTGTGGGGCAAAACCATTCTTTCTTATCCATTGAATTAGTAAAAGGACAGATCAAATACCAGGTAATATTTTGTTTTCTTCCATATTGTTATTTGCAGTGAAAACAATCTCAGCTGCTATTAACTTGTAAATGTTTGGGTGAAAATGAACTACATTTCTGAACAATGCTGAAATATTACATTTGTAGATAGACTAAAACTATTTGATCGCCACAAACAATTTTTTCAGTTCTTGAACTTGCGTAAAGCCTTAAGATTAACAGATTAAACCCTAAGAATAGTTATTCTTGACCTTATACATATTTATAAGTACTTTTGAGTTATAATAACTGTGCACTTGTACATTTGTAACTAAAGTCATAAGAAAGAAAATCTCTAATTCCAGCAGTCAATGTCAGCCTTCAAAGTCTCTATTTCTATTCTTTTCAGTAATTTATACCATCCTGTAAAAAAATGTAAATGTAAAATAACTACAGGTAAACACACAGAAGGGTAAGGAGGGCTGTGGCCCCTTTGGAAGTTTGAAAGGGGCCCCATAACACTACATATTAAATGATTTTATTTCTTTAAATTTCATCAATTTGTGATTTTCCCCTTTTAACTTTCTCAAATTTACATTTGCAGTTTTTGGGAGTACTTCACATTAAGCTTCAAAAACATTTTCAAAATGTTTTCAAACATTTTCTCAAAAATGGAACTTAATCTTTTATTAAACTTTGTCTTCAGATAGTTTATAGGGAGCTTAAATGTTACACCAGTTTCATTTTTGTTTGAAATCTCAAAATTTTTGAAAACTACAAACGTTCAAATTTCTTGGTGTTTTCCTATAACTAAAAAATTGAAGAAGCAAATTTTTTTCCATAATAAATCTTTTGTTCAAAGATAGATCTTGAAATAAGGTCATGTACAATTTTTTGAAAATATGGGTTGTTTTCACACAATTTTGCATGAAATATGGGTGATTTTTATACTATTATTTTCTCAAAAATGGCTCAATTTTTTTTCTTTCAATTTCCTCATTGTATGTGTCAAAGAATGATAAAAATGTGGTGCTGGTTCCACTTTCTGTGAACTCTCTGTATTTTCAAACATTACAAAAGATTAACATTGTAAAATACAATGAATTGATGATAGAGATTTGTACTTGAAAAATCTGTTCTAAAAAATTAGATCTAAAAAGAGGTCTTGTTTAATTATTTGAAAAAAATAGTAGTTTTCAAGTAATTTCTATTTGAAGTTACTTTTTCATTTATTTGGTTGTGTGTTTTTTAAATTTTATTTTACTTTTGACATTTATAAGCAGTTTGTGATCTTGAATTTGGTGCAATGTTTCTTTTTCTTCCACTTTCTTCAATTTGTTTCACAATCTTAATTTAACTATCCAATAAAAATTATTGTGGATTCATTTTCATGTTTTAGTTTGATCTGGGAGAAGGTCCTCTGGAACTCATTTCTCCTCTTAAGTATAATGATGGTCATTGGCACAAAGTAAATGCAGCTCGTGAACAGCTAAAAGGTGTACTTATAGTAGATGGTGATACAGTAGCTCGTGGAATGGCACCAGAATCTAATTCAAATCATGATCTGAAGAGACTGCCAAAATTATATTTTGGTGGCCATCCCAAGCATCGTTTTAAACCTGTTACTAAAGCATTTTTTGATGGATGCATTGACAAAGTTTCAATCAACGGATTAGTAGTTGATCTTAGTCAGAACCTTCAAGCAATTGGCGTTACTCCAGGTTGTCCTGTACAAGTAAGTAGTAAACTCATCAATGAGAAATTTTTCACATTATTTTCATCTTGGAATCACAGTTAATGACCACAAATACATAATTGACCTTGTTACAGGTAGCAACTATATTGTCATTTGAAGACAGAAGTCCTGGATATTTACATTGGTACAATGTTTCAAGCACTGATACCCTGGAATTCAACTTTAAATTCAAAACTGAAGCATTAAATGGTCTGCTTTTCTATATTACTGACAGAAATCAACAAAATACTCTTTCACTTTCACTAGTTGAAGGAGAGTTAGTATTGCAAAGTAAAGGCTTTGTAGATCTTTCTACTTCTCGTCCTATTAAATTTAATGACAGCCAGTGGCATGTTGTCACAGCCATTCATGACACTGCAGGTCTTACTCTCGATATTGATGACACTTATCCTCTCATGTGAGTGTTAAAATATTTTAAAATTATTTTCAAGATACAATCTTGTGTAGAGGTACTAGAAAATGTGTGTAATATTTTATTTTTTGATTTGTAGGAGAAGTGCTAGTCTTCCTCCATTGCGTTTCAAATTTGGAAGTATTTATTTTGGAGGAGTTCCTAATAATTTTGATATAGTTGAAGGGGCAGTTGCATCCACAGTTCCATTTATAGGATGCTTGGGAGATGCTACAGTTAATGGAATGTTAATCAATTTTGCCAATACTACTGATCGAGTGGGTGCCAAACTTGGAAAATGTCACCTTAAAGATCATGAACCTGTATCAAGTTAGTATAATATTCATTGCATTCAACTATCTATATCATGCAAATGTGAATGATTAAATGATGGAAGAAGTTATGTTCATTCAGGAGGCATGTATATTTTTTCTGTTTTCTCTGCAGTTTTACCTCCTGTTGATTTGCCAGAACCTGGAGTGGGAACTATTCCTGAAGAAGTTCCTGTGACTGAGAAAGGTATAAAAAAGTGCTGAACTGTCATTTGTACAGATAAGTTTCTGTGTACATTTCAGATTATATTTGTGATGGTTTTGACTTTGGACGTGACTACCTCTGGGGAAAAAATTCTTTGTAGTTAAATGTGTGATACAGGATTTTAATTTCATATATTTCTTCTAATTCTCAATAATCTTACTTTCTTTACAGAAGATATTCTGCCTCCAGATGTTCATGTACCAGAAACACCATCTCCAACTACTACCACTACAACCACTACAACCACCACAACCACAACAACCACAACAACCACAACTCCTGCACCTCCACCTGCGCCTCCTACTCCATCACAGCCTTCATGTCAGCTACCACTACATCCAGCTAAAGATCCAGAGGCTTCTTTGGAGAAAGGATTACGATTTGGTCAGTTTTAATCCTTTTTTTAAACTTTATTATCATAAACTGTTTATAAAAACTCGATGACTTAATTTCAATGTTTTATATTTTTACAGGTACTGTTCAAAATGGTTGGGCAGAATACACAAGCAACTTGAAAAATAAATTAAAAACTAAATATGAAATTTCAATTGAAATTAAAACATATGCTGAAAATGGTATAATATTTTATGTGGATGCTGTTGAAACTCATATAGATTTTGTTGCATTATATATGAAGGATGGGAAGGTAATAAAAATTGCAGCTTGTGTTGTATCCTCTTATGGTATTTTCAATAATAGTGCAAGAGATAGTATCATGATATGTGACTCATTTGAAAACGTCTTAATTATGATTAAATAAGTAGTTTATATTGTCAGCATCATCATCATCATCATGAACTGCAAGATGAAAGGCCAGGAGCGGCGGGGGGGGGTGGGGCTGTTTCCTGGTCAAGCAGTAGACCGGAAATATTTCAGTCTTCCAAGTGTTTCTGCATTATCCACTTCTTTCTTGGTCTTCCTATATCTCTCTGTCCAAGTGGCGTATCTTTTAGGGTAGCTTTGGGAATCTTCCTTCTTTCATTTTTTTATTATATTCCAGTCATTTTTTTCTGGTTCTTTTTAACTTCCTCTGTTACGCTTGTTGTCCTCAATCTTTTTCTTATGCCTTTATTTCTCTGTTGATTCAGTCTAGTATAGCCAAGGAGGTGTCTTAGGAACCTCATTTGAGCTGCTTCCAGTCTTTGGTTGTCTCTTTGTTGTGGGATCCAGATCTCTGATCCATATAATAACATTGGTTTGACTGTCATGTTGTGTATTCTTAATTTCGTTTCTTGTATCATGACTTTCCCAAAGAGTCTTTTAATTATTCCATTCTATTTCAAAATTTGAAAACACATAGTTACAGACTGAGTGACCAGTAACTAGTTAATATTTTAATATTTTTAATATAATTTTTAATTTAATATCATTTTAGTAATTTTGATATCTATATTTTAAGATGTATCAGTCTACTTCTATTTTCAATGGACACGACTGCACAAACCATATCAAAATCAAAAGTTTCTCCTGCAGAGAGAAATACCACAGTGTTTGCAAATATGAAGGATTCATGGCTAGACTGGCATTGTCCTAATGTTGAGGAAGCAGACTTATTTTATGAAGTATAAGATAACAATCAGTACGAGAAGTTTAGAATATTTTCAAATCAATGAAATTTATGATTTTTTTAAAACAAGGTAATAAACATTCTAGCACCAATCTGTCATGCTGTTTGCATGACAGACTGATGAATTTTTTGTGAGGGATATAAAACTACCTATTTACCCATGTTTTAAAAGTTTTCAAATGTGTAACCTTTTTATGACACTATCCTTTTACAATAAATCTTTATTGACAATTTTTGGGTCTCTTTAACTTTACACTTGTATTTTCTTTTAGCTAATTCATGATTTCAATTGTGGCTCTGGAGGAGCTTTTATTCAAAGTGAAAATAAATACAATGATGGGCAATGGCATAAAGTTGTAATGAAGAGAAACCAGTCTGAAGGAACTTTGGAAATAGATGGCAAAGCTGAAGTAGTTGAGGGCCGTTCTTCAGGTGATTTGACAACAGTTGATTTAGAACAACCAGTGTTTTTGGGTGGATTGAGGAAAAATGCAAATTACAAAATGAAAGAAAACATGAAGGTAATTTTTCATAATATTTGAAACACATTATTTTTGTACTTTTCTTCCATTGTTACAGCTTTACTTGATAAAACATATTCAGTGTATTTTTCAATCATTTTTTCCTTCTCAATAGGGAATGAATGAGTCTTATGTTGGTTGTTTAAGAAATATTAAAATAAATCAACACAATATTGGCATCCCTGATGTAAGAATAGGTGTAACTCCATGTTCCGAGAAAGTGGAACAAGGAGCTTTCTTTCCTCCAGAAGGAGGATATATAAGAGCTCGTAAGTATCGAAGTTAATAATACAAGAAGAATATCACAGACATTTTTGAATTTTTTGTTGTTGTAATTATATTTGAATTACAGGCAATAACTTCCGAGTGGGTGAAGAGATGGCCATTGAGATGTTCATTAAGCCACGGAATGTTTCTGGTATTTTGTTGTCTGTGCATGGAAAAAGGGACTTTTTACTTCTTCAAATGGTGAATGGAAATATAAAATTTAGTGTTGACAATGGAAAAGGACCCATTACTACAGAATTTAAACCAAAACATGAACATTTCTTCTGTGATGGAAAGTGGCATGAAATTCAAGGTAAAATTTACAATCTTGTAAGTTCTGATGTAAATAGCTCACCCAAATATTGATGATCACAAAGCACATTATGAGTGAAAAGAAACTTGGTTGGAACCATGATGCATTAGTTGTTTTTATTTAGCCCTAACACACTGTCACTAGATCTCCTGCTGTAAATGATTTTGGCTATAAAAACACTACAACCATAAATGTTAAAAGAAGTATTCAATACAAATTTATTCCAGTAATTTGCTCAAATTTGTGCAGTATTCTCACCTGGATGGAAAGTTACATTGAACATAAGTGAATATGAAATTTTAGAATTCAAATTGTTCAAATCATTAGTGACCTTGACTAGGAATAAAACCTGGGAGTCATGGTTTATGCCCAGTTGGTTTTACCACTAAGCTACTGTGATGACCAATGCTGTGAACAGTTTCATAGGCTTGCTGTATTGTAACATTTAATACTCAATTTTCACCAATAAAGCAAGGAAAACCAGGAGACCTGAGTTTGATTCCCAGTTGAGGCGATTAATACTTTGGACAATTTGAATTAGTAAAAACATTTGTTATGTAATAACAAGGTCACGTCATGCAAGTCGTTTACTGGGCACAACTTAATTTTGAAATAATTGTCAATCCAATAAAGTGGTAGGAAGAAAACAATTCAATAAGAACTTTTAATATCAAAGCAGCAATGAAAAATTATAAAATTGTAACAGCTTACAAAAATGCTACAAAACACATAAGATTATTGCTAATATTTTGAATAATTCTTAAGTAGACCTGAAGTGGCTGAAGACAAAGACTAAAGGCAGCTCCGCACATTTGGTATTCAACAAGTAGTGAGCGACTGCTAACTAAATCCTAAGTAGCATGGATGGGTTGCTTGCTATTTGCCGAATGACAAATCTTCAATGCTCGCACTACTCATTGCATATTGATCTTTTGGACAAATCAAAGGAAGCAAACATTCACTGAGCACAACAACAAAAAAGTTGAAAATCTCTGTACTTTATTAATTATTATTTTTATCTGAACATTCACTTTACTTTTTGCTCAGCCTTTTTAATATGGAAAAAATTTACACGTCTCCTATTCTGAATTATACAAATCTAGGCCACAGCCTATTTAAAGTTTTTTATTAATATAAATAACTTGCTGTGAGTTTCCATAATACTATGCTTTGTAAACTGTGAAAACTCTACCTTATTGTGAATATTCTCTTGAGAAAGCCTTTTCTTCCTTCTGTAGTTGACATAAAAGATAAATTGAGAATATAATAAAGATGAATTACAAAAATCAAGATATGTTATAATTCAGAGTGACTTATGAATTTTCTTTGTCTTTTACAGACACTTAACAGACACTAAAATGTGACTACTTGACAACTGTTTTGAATTGTCATTAATAATTTATTTTGAATATTTCTTCTTTCTTTCATTTTTCTCATTTTAAGAAAATGGAAATTCAGCATCATTTTATATTATCGTTTTATTGATTCAAATAATAAATAATATTATGTGAGAGTAATATGAAATTAATCATATGGTTCATTTATTTCCAGCTGTCAAAACAAGTAATGTGGTGACATTATCTGTGGATAAGCAAGGCATGCCTCCAGGTATTGGCATGCCAGGTCAGTCTTCTACAGATACTCGCAACCCACTGTTTATTGGTGGCCATGCACCAGTAAAACGACATCTTCGTGGGGTGATGCGAGATCAAATGCAATTTGTGGGTTGCATCAGAGATGTTCAAATAAATAATGTACTTCAAACATTTACATCATCTCAAGCACATGGAAATGTTGCCATTGATTTCTGCCCTACTATTTAATATTTTATTATTCTCTTAAGAGATACTTTGTTTTTGAATGTCAGAAAATGTTATAATGAATGTGGAAGTTATCTGATGAGTTTGTAACTTGTATTATAATAATAATGAATGTAAGTTATCTGTTAGTTTTTGTATTTGTATAAAAATATAAAATATGTTCACTTTGAATTGTAATTATTAACATTTTACAACAAATTATAATACACATTTTCTGATAGGAAAACAACCATTTTGTTTTTATAAACAATGGTTTATTTCATTTACAGCCCCTTAATACCTTCTAGCTCAAAAGTCTTAAAAATTCACAAAGAATTGAATCTGTCATTAGAAAAGTGAAAATAAGTTCTTGTTCCATAGTTCTGAGAAAAAAATCTTAATAACATCCACAGGAACAATAATGTTCTACACAAAAGTTCCAGAACTAGTCATTATTGATTGCTTGGGCTACCTACTCTGTAATTTCAAATTTGCATTTCTGTGATGTACAAAACTGATTTTATAATCTGGACTTATTTTCTTTATAAAATAATTGTGAAATATTTAAAACACAATTTTTTACTTCTTAATTTTTGGACTTGTGAAACAATATAATGATAGAATAAATAACTTATAGAATGATGTGAATTATTTTGCTATGGGGACATTATAAATATAAACAACTCATAAATTAATAATCTCAGCAACTACTCATCATCGATTTCCACTTGAGTATGTGGCTATGTCAAAACATTTTGGTGGAAATGGAGATGTTTATTTGGGATGTTCAGTAAAATCTGTCTAAACCGGAATATGTGCAAGCCGGAAACGTGTCTTATGGACAGAATGTCTTTAGCCTGTCAACCTGGAAAATTTCTCCGACTCGTAAAGTTAAATGGTTAAAATTACACAGCTTCAAACGGAATCTGTTCTACGCGGAAACGGAACGGGTTTTCATGACCTGCAGGGGGAAAAACTTCAGAAAACGAAATTTCTGCGAACTTAATGCAATTGGCAGAGAGACGCAAGATCCTCTTCATGGAATGAATGCATCTGCAATTCTGTTTCCTTTCTCTGTCCCAGGGATATGAATTTTAGTTGTGGCAACCGCACAGTGAAGACGAGAAGCTTCAGTTGTTAGCGTAGAATTCGACCTTAAGTTCGCTTCCCTCTCAAGACGTAGGCCCTGGGGGAATTCCCCCTCTCCCGGTTCATTGAGCGTAGGAAGGTGCACGGCCATGGCTTGAATTCGCGGCCCCGCGTTGACAATCCTATCTCCTAGGAAGAAGCCGAATTGGTCAAGGCCATGTGAGGGTATCAGAAAGACATAATGCTGTGAGTTGCGACGTATTGTGCGTTGAAAGAGTCAGCGAGCAGTCCGGGTGCAGCCAGTAAGCAGTGAGGTGGTGTGTTTTATGAGATTCACTACCAATTTCACCAATAGCTGAAAAAATCCTAAATATTAAAATTTTTCAACTTCAGAAAACATAATTATTAGTGTTGTGTTAGTAAGTGGGAAAACCAAAAGGCAAAAAATTGTAGATGAATGATGAAAAATAATATTATTTTAGTGTCCAATATGTGAAGTTTTTCCTTTTAATTGTCAGAAATATTTTTATTATTCATTTATTCGTGATTTCTTCCTCAAATATGTTATATGTTGATATATTTTTATAATGATAATAGTCATGTAATTTCCTAGATTCAGAAAAGAAATATTATTATAACAAGGGCCATTAAGAGGACAACCCTGCATAAATGGAGACCTTAAACCGGAATCTTTTTTTGTCCCGACCGATTCCGGTTTAGACGGATTTTACTGTGTTCTCAGTGGCGTAGCGTGACTTGCGCGTTCGGGGATACTCAATAATAACGTGAACTGAAGACATAATGATATTCAATGTTTTCTAGAATCCATGTTATCAAAACTAATGTTACAATACTTCAAAAGATTTATGTCAGGAGACTTCTTGTAAGCAAATTATGCAATGGCTCAGCTTTAATTCTCATGTGTGATTGGCAATGATATCACTTGTGAATTTATACATTTCAGTCCAAAATAATATTTAATATAATTAAGTAAGAATTCAGCTTCTTAGATATTAATTAAGAATCGGTTTCCACTATTTATACTGTTTGTGCCCATTCCCATGCAGAGAATCATGAGTAAGAAAGACAAATTCTTCACTGACTAGTGTGCTGCGCTCTCATGCACAGACGAGCAACCTGTTCTTAAGCCATTCTTTTCTCAGTCGTATGCTAGCGTATTATGGACAGAAGTAAAGAGGGGAGGGGGAACCTCGCCACTGCGCATGCTCCATTGCCCGTCTCAATATCCCGGCAGACGTTAGAAGCATTTTAGCGTCTAAGCAATCAGAGGCCAGCTTGTAATAAAGCGCCAAATTCAATCGTAGAAAATCACTTCACGAAATGTGTTTCACTAAACGGACCGCTTGTAAGGTCTTTAATACAATATTTAGAGTTCTTTGATTAATATTTTACGTTAGGATGCTTAGCATCTTAGCGTCCCCTGACGTTACGCCAATGATTTTACTATTTTTGAACTTCGGTTATTTTCTTTCCGTTGATTGGAATAACAGCTGAGACGTAAGCTTTCTTGAAAGGCAAATCTGGGTGTGCCAACATGAATGAATACTTAATGAACCCATCATTATATGTACTCACATGCCACGAGGTAACCAAAATATTATCTATTATATATTAACTGCTTTACTTGGCGGTCAGGCGGAAGAGCGGGCCTGATGGCCCGAGCCTCGCCATATTAATAAAGGCATATATATATATAT